TCTTTAAACTGTCCATGCTTTTTTAGAGGTTAGTAGAGCAAATAAAGAAACATCACTGTTTTGATTTTTAATATTTTTTATGGGTTATAAAGATTTTAACATCTGCTTCGGTATGCTTTCTATTAGCCAGGTCTTAACACATGAGTATGTAATGTGCCTGAAAATTTGTGATTTGGGGTGGAGAAGTTTCTAAGATTGCATTTTAGTCAAGGGTGCTCTATTCTGCCCTAGAGTCTCTAGAGTTGCACAGTCCAGTTCAGAAGGCACTAGCTACATGAGTACTTTAGTGTATTGAGATGTGATGTAAGTGTGGAAGATGAACCAGATTCTAGAAACCTAGTATGGGGGAAAAAAGAAAATATACCGTTAATTTTATTACATATAAACAATTATTGATTACATGTGGAAATAATGATACTTTTTAATACCGGGTTGTAAATTATGAAAATTCTATGGTTTTGATGTAATCACTAAGAAATTTAAAATTACATACATGGCTCACATTATATTTCTGTTGGGCAGTTCTGCTCTAGAGTACAAAGCTTGATAATACATTATACCACCAGTTTTCAACCAGTGTGCCATAAGAATTTTTAAAACATGCAATACCTGCCCTGGCCAGTGTGGCTCAGTGGCTAGAGTTTGTCTGAGCACTCAAGGGTCATGGTTCTATTCCTGGTCAAGGACTGGTACCTGGGTTGCAGATTGGATCCTGGGCCGGGTTGGGGCACTAGCTGGAGGCAACAAATCAGTGTGTCTCTTTCACTTCCATCTCTCTCTCCCCCTAACCCTCCACCCTCCTTCCATTGAGGATTAACAACAGCAATAACAAAAAAACATGCAATACCTGACTATTTAGGTCCAGGGCACTGACCTCTTTTCCCTTCGATTGTCAAATAAAAAATGACAACAGCCAACATAGCTATAATAGCTGACCAGTGTGAATGAATCAAAATGATACCTGTTGTTTTTTGGTCAGATTAGCAAAAAATATATTTTTTGGTGTGTCACAGAATTTTTAGTAATTAGTTTACGTGTGTCATGAGATGAAAAAGGTTGAAAATTGCTGCATTGTACCAAGCCCAAGAAATTTTAACCATTAGAAAACTTTATTGTGTTTTTTTTTCCTCCATAGTTAAGTCTTATGGAAAGAAATTGTAAAATTGCTATTGTTAAGCTTCAGTACTTTGGAAGGGTCTTTTGTATTGGTGACTATTCTTAGTGAATCTACAAGTTAAAGGAACCTGAATTTTAATTAAAGGGTAACCTTGGCTACTTTGAAACCATTCGGTTTATTTACATAACTATAGGAAAAGCTCTGCTAATTCAAAATACGTGGTTTACATTAATTGACTCATCTTCAAAGAAATAGTACTTTGTTTCATCCAAGTGTGGTTATAAATAGGAATTAGAGTAAAATGTGGAAGATATATTTAAATTTCTTGAATATGACTTAATTGCTAAAATTGAAAGCTAAATTTGAGAAATTTTTAGGCTACTAAGAATTTTTAATTTTTCTAACCATCAACTTGAAACTTGTGAAAATTTTGAACTTTATGCTGACGCATAAAGTAATGATGGTCATTTATATCTAGTCTGTACAACAGACACCTGGTTCACACTGAATTACATAAATAATGTAAACATTCTCTTTCTTCATTACAAGATTATGAATTAATGAAGATTTACTGTTTTAACTTACTGGTGCTAGTAATACCAATGCATGACTTTGTAGACCAATGAAATATCACTTAATTATAGGTTCTTGAATTGGATCTAAGATACTGGCATTATAACAGCTCTAGTTAGCAGAAATTAACACTTTTAGAAGACCAGCAAATAACTAGAGATTACTTTGATCTTATTTCTGATGATTAAAGCTTGATTCACTAGTCCATTTATAATACTTATAAGACTTGCTGTAATTCTGTGTTCTGAGAGGAATGAAAACATGTTGCCCAAACTAATTTATCAGTTGCCACCCCCCCTTCATCACTTCAGTATGTACTGAATTGCTTAGTAAAGTAGTAACCTGACACTTGGGCAAATGTGGTAACTGAGAATAGAAATAGCAAGGTGAGAAAGATTGTAACCCTGTTTGTCTAATACACAAACTGGGTATTCACTGGTAGCTTATACTAGCTTTGACATGTAAGAATCTGTAGAAACAATTCAGAATTACATTGATAAACACCAAGTATAAGAGCTTTAAAAAGTACTGTTAATAGAAATCTAGACAGTATATAAGAGAAAACATGAGTTACAGTAAAGATTGCATACTGTTAATGTGTTACAGTTCTTAACCACTGTGTATAGATTATGTACCATATTTATAAAGTCTTGTTCATATGAACTTAATTTTGCTTATTTTTCTGAGTTTTAAGTTTTGTTAAGAGCTAAATTATTAACCTTTATGACTACCACTCATATGGACTGTTGTACTTTAGCTCTCACATTAGGAACTGCCTAAGAGAAAGCTGCTAGTTGCTAAAGTAACACTTTAAATAAATAGTAATAGGTAGAAGAGACTGAGTTAATATTGGGTCTGAAAGTAAATAATTGGGAAAAAGGTTAAGAAGGAATAAGTAAGAAGAAGGAACGAACTATAGTACCTAAAAATAGAGGATGGAGACGGTATGAAAATAGTTATATTTTACTAGATTCATAAAATAATATGAATAAAATACTAATAACCTAAAATTTTCTACCAGTTGCTATAGTAGGCAGAAAGTTTGTTAAATGATTTATGATTTTTGCTAATTATGAAAGAAAACGAATGTAGTAATGAAGTTATTGGTAAAACTTAGACATTTTGAAAGGAAAGAATTTCATTAATGTATCAAGCCATCGATTGTGTGTAATTATTGAGAAGAAACTTAGATTTTATGTAGACTGGAAATTCCACGTGATGGAGAGGTGTGTTAACGAAGTTACTGGCCCATTGGAACAGCTTCTTAATCCATTGACATTTTGGGGTGGGTAATTCTCTACTGTGAGGAGATGTCTTACGAATTGTAGGGTATTTAGTAGCATCCCTCTAAATGCCATTAGCCACCCCCACTCCCAGTCTTGACAATCAAAAATGTCTCTGTACTTTGCCAAGTGTCCTCTGCAAAGTTGTTCTCTGTTTGAGCACCATTGTAATACAGTGTGCCTAGCTGTGTTACTGCTTTGAAATGTTTTACACAAGAACAATTAGGGCCAACATTAAAGCTATATAACCATTGCCCTGAACCATTACCATGCTCCATAATATGGGCTCCCAGGAGTCTAGAATAATTGACTAATGCTGATAAAATTTAGTGGTTTAGTCTTTGGTGACTGAGGGTATATAAAATAACTTTTCATTTTTTTTTTAAAGACTGTGTCCAAAGAGTGTATTTGCTATCCTGAATAGAATTCAGTGAATGTTTTTTCCCTTAAAGTGATTAAAATTCAAGAAAAAGTAGAGGGGGGAAATGTGAACTAAATTTTACTTAATTCCAAAAACGTGTCTTTATATTCAATAAATTCTCACTTTATTGGTAGTGTTCTAACATAACAGATTATGTAGTTACAAAAGTTAAAAAATCTTAAAACCAATTCATTACCTAAAAATAAAAAATAGCCCCACTCCCATTTACCTTTAGGTATTATATTAATACCTATGTGTATGTGGATTACAGATGTAAAGTATAGCTAGATATATATGACATTTTTATTATAAAAATGGGCTCTTTTTTCTATTGATTTGTATTTGTAGTATTTCCTATTTACCAATTTTTGTATGTCAGACACTTAAATTATTTTATAATCGTTGTAATGTTCATCAAATGGTGTACTGTAATTAATCCTGCAAGTGTACTTTTGAATGTTTGCTACTTTCTGTTATTACAAATAGTGTTGCTTTGATTACCCTTTTTGGTGTGTTTTCAATGTTCTTAGGATAAAGGAAATTGCCAAGGGTCCTGATATATTTTGCTGTATTGCTACTTGTGAAGGTTGAATAAAATATACTCCCATCAGAAGAGGTGTGTGAGAAGGCTGATAGAGCATGCCCCTTCCCACTCCCACAAACTCTCCACAGTACACTATTAGCATTAAATTTTTTTTTAAGTGTGTGTTGTGAATATGATTTAAAAAGAAATTCAAACAGTACAGCATGTAAACATTAGTTGGCCTCTTCCTTTAGTTTTCCCTACTTTGAATCTCTTTCCTCAAAGGTTACTGTTTTCTTGGGTCTTCAGGGGAATAAAAAGAGTAAACCTGTTTGTGTGTGTGTAGGGGAAGGGTATTATTGTGAGTTTCTAGTAATACTTTGAAAATGAGGACTAACAGCCCTAGCTGGTTTGGCTCAGTGGTTAGAGCGTTGGCCCGAAGACCGAAGGTACCCAAGGTTCGATTCCAGCCAACGGCACGTACCTTGGTTGCAGGCCCAGTCCCCAGCCCTGATTGGGGTGTATGCAGGAGACAACCATTTGATGTGTATCTCTCACATTGATGTGTGTCCATCCCCCGCCCATTCTCTCTGAAAAACAATGGAAAAAATGTCCTCGGGTGAGGATTGAAAAAAAAGAAAAAGAAAATGATTACTAACAATTATACACCTGTTTCTCTAACCTTGATTTTCCCCCCCCACTTAACATCCTTGGAAATAGTTTCATAATGGCACTTAACAGATGTAACTTACTTTTAAGGAAAAGCCTGTGTAGTATTGTTTTATAGTTGTACCCAATGTATTTAATCAGTCTGCTGTTAATGGATACCTTGAGTTTTTAAGACAGTTAAAACTATCAGTTTAATAGAAAAAAATTGGCATCTTTTCTCATTAGTGTTGTGTTTTAGTCTATTAGTGTGAGTGATTGCTTTTTATAACTGCCCATGTGTATATCCGTGAATCATCTGATTGTTCTTAGATATTTTTTCCCTAGTGGGATGTTTTTCTTTTACTGATTTGTGGGATTATGCATTTTTTTTTTTTTTTTTTTTTTTTATGTTTTCATCGATTTTAGAAAGGGGATAGAGAGATAGAAACATCAGTCGGCTTCCCCCATGCATGCTCCCTACTGGGGATCAAGCCCACAACCCGGACATTGCCCTGACCAAGGAGTCAGTTCAGTAACTTCTTGGTTCATGGGTCGGCTCTCAACCACTGAGCCACACTGGCTGGGCACATTATGCATTCTTGAAGAATGTTTTTATGTTAGAGGGTGACTGGAATTTCAGCCTTCAGTAATCCCATGAAGATGTGAAAAATGGAGTGTACTTGCTCATCATCTTGTTAGACTAGTAAGCAATGCTTAGCCTAAAAGAAAAGTGTGAAACAAGATCGAGGGGAACAAACATTGAAAAGGTATTGCATAGTGGTTAAGAGCCACACTTTGGTATCAAAACTGGGTTTGAACGATTGCTCTGCTACTTACTGGTTCTTGTGACTTTTGGCAAGTTATTTCTGTGCTTGGTTTTTTATCTGCAAAATGGGGATATATACCATCCAGTATGGTCAGCAAATCTTTTCTTTATAGGGCCAGGTAGTAAATGTGACCTGCTTTGTGGACAACATAGGAGTTTTGTCATATGTCCTTTGTTTTCCTGTATGACCCTTTAAAATGTAAAAAACCCAGCCCTAAGCCTAGTCTACAGCATTATAATAAATTGTTCCTTTTGTGTCTATTACATACTAAAACTTTATTATAAATGGTAACTAATAGCTTGACTAGTTGAAATTCTCTTGTGTTAGGTTAGTGCAGGAGTTAGCAAACTATAGCCTCAGTCCAAATGTAGCCTACTGCCTGTTTTTATAGAGCCTGTGAGCTGAATTTTTAAACTGCAGCGAAAAAATGAATACTTTTTCATGGCATATGAACATTATATGAAAATTCTAAGGTCAGTGACCATAAATAAAGTTTTATTGGAATACAGCCATGCTCATTCATTTGCATATTGTCTGTGGCACTTTTGCACCACAATGGAAGGTTGAGTGGTTGCAAGAGACGGAATGGAAGCCTTAAATATTTACTATCTGTTGTCCCTGTGTGGAAAAAGTTTGCTGAACCTTGAGTTCCTCAGGGAACCCAGTTGAATTTCTTTGTTAGGTGACTATAATTTGTAAGTGCTGATTAGGTAAGACATAGAGTAGTCTATTCAAGTGTGGTTTTGTGGAATGAATGAAACAAGGGATTGAGGATTTTCCTAACAAGGAATAATGTGTGGGTTTTTTGGCAGCATGGAATTTAGGTTCTAGTTTTTCACCAACTCTACTTGACTGCCTCCCTCTGCTCTGTAGGAGGTGGTGGATATTGGCAAGTAGCGGCATCTCAAATTTTGATGAGTCCTTTTATTTTTGAGGGGTTGCAGTTAACATTTCTGCCTTTGACTGGAGTCTCATTCATATTGCTAGAAATTTTGAGAAGAAACCAAGCAGAGAGCATTTTTGGAGGAGAGCCATTGTTTCTGCATGAAAACTCACTACGGCAGGTAGTTCTAAGCTTTAATTTAGACCCCATTGGTTGCCTTTGGACAATTACGAGATTGTTTTGCATATTTCTGGACACAGTAGTGTGGAAGCAATGGGTCTTTTTAAAAGTGTTTTGAGCCTTTGGTCGTCCCAGCTTTGCTTTCTCTCATTTGTGAGGAGGCCTGTGGCAATAACAGATTGGTTGGATGTTCAGACATGGTCCATTGCATATTTGAAAGAAAGTAGACTAAGTTAAGATTCAAATCACTCAGGTTCTAACATGTAAAATTTAGGCTCATAAAGTAAAAAAGAGCTTCATAAATGATTCCCAACTACAAGAATTAATTTGTAACTTTAATGGCTAAACTACCGTGCACCGTTAAGGTTCGGACATGAAGGGAAACGAGTGTAGAGCTGAATCTAGTGTCTACATATCTTTGTGCTTTTTACCCTCCCCTTTAAAAGAAGGGGTGGGGGGATAAGGCACACAAAAGTTCATTTCAGGAGTGGGGAGTCTTGGTACTCTTGTTCCGTGACTCGGCTCTTGAGGTCATTTGTTCTTGTTTTGTTTGGCATGCTGCTGTTACCACTTTTCTTCCTACTTTAGATGTTATTTTATTTGTTGCCTAACTTATTCTAACAGCTATTTCCAAAGGGTTCTTTAATAAAATACTCTGCTGTTTAATCCTCTAAATGTAAATATGAATGTACTAGACAAAGCATCTTGAAGCTAAAACAATGGTTAGTATAGCACACCCCCAATGGTCTAGAACACATGTAGCTTTCAGTTTTTAATAAACATGAGCTTTATTAAGCTCTTCACTTGCTCTTTCTATATATGCATTATCTGTTTCTTAAATTGCAGAGTTGTCCATGAAATTCATGACAAACCTTTGAATGTGAGGCGAATTTTTGTATAACAGATTTTCAGCAACATATGGACATGTATGTGATAGTTGTTTATAAGGAGATTTGCTTATTATTTTCACCTAAAAGGTATACCTGTAGATAGTTTTTTAAAATTTGAAATATTAAATAGGTTAAAAGTCATCTATAATCTTATTTAATTTTTTTGTATAATATCAGAAGTGAAAGTTGCCCCCACCTGTTTATAGCTTGTTTGAATCCTTCCTGACTTGATGTTTATATGAACATATCTATATACATGTGCATTATTATTTCCACTTTTGCTTAATAACAAAACAGTCAAAACACACCAGTGACTAACTTGCTTTTTTCATGTATGTCATGAACCATCTTCCAGGTCAGTGCATCTAAACCTCCCTTATTAATTTCAGTGGCTGCATACTCCACTATTACAGATGGTACCATATATCTACAACCAGTCCCCTCTGATGGACATATGGGACATACGGTTGTATCTAGTTTTTTGCTAGCATTGTAATAGGTTAGAGGCTGTAATGAATGGTAAGGAAGTAGGTAGCACTACTACTTTAATGGAAAAAGTAGAGAAGAAACTTCCTTTGCCATAGTCACTTACTAAATGAAATATAAAACACTGTCAAAAGTTGAGAGGACCAAAATTGATACTTTTTCTCTGATCTTTTTGCCATGTGTATATCTGAATTCTTTGTTTTTAAAGAAGAAACAGCATTGAAGCATTATTTGGGGGGAAAAACACACACACAAAATCCAGCAACTCAGCATTCATGAGCAACTCTATACTATACCAGTATGTGCCTGTGCAGTGGAAGGAAAACAATTTTGGTAAGGAATTAAAACTTTAGCTTTAAACTTCCAACAGGTTGATATTTATAATGAATGATGAATCAAAAAATTTTAATATTATGTTGCCAGAACCTTTTTTTAAAAGAAGTCACCATACCTTTGATACCTTTAATTTTAGTTTAAACAATTCCCCTTTTTCCTTTAAAAAACCAAAACAAACAAAACTGAATTTGCAGCCAACAAAAGTTAGATATATTCTAAGGTGTGTATTTCTTCTGACTTTATTAAAATATCTGTTAACATTTATTAGAGATGTTTATGGGTCAACTTTATCCTTTTCTTCAAGGGGCCAAGTTCACTAAGTGCTGAGTTTTATACATATTACAGCAACAGTCCTTTTGTAGGTGTGTGTTGCACCCATCTAGATGCTTTGAGATGCTCATGTAGTTTTTAAAATTATTTGTACATGGGGGATTATCATTGGTAGTTTTTCTTTGTTAAACCTAAATATATGACATCTGTTATAATTATTTCTTAAGTGTAATATTTTTTCTACTTTTTGCATTGTATAGGAAATATATCCTGGACAATTCCAACCATCTCTCTGTCACAAATTCATAGCGTTGTCAGATAAGGAAGGAAAACTACTTCGCAACTATACTCAGAACATAGATACACTGGAACAGGTTGCAGGAATCCAAAGGATAATTCAATGTCATGGTTAGTAAACTTCAGAATTCCTTTCTGTTATTTAGTTGTATTTTCTAGGAAAATTAGGATTAGAAAGTAGGCTGCCATCCAGGAATGGAGATTGAGTTTTATCATCTACTCATGTTATCTGATCAATTGTAGATAAAATAAGAAAAGCAGAATGCAAAAAGACCCATGAAAACAGAAGTATTGGCCTTACCACTTAATTGTACAAAACATCAGAAATCAGTGTGCTTTTGGATTTCAGTACACGTAGCAGCTGCATTCCATTAAGTTCTTTTCAGTAACCTTTTTCTTTATTATAATAAACGTAATATTAGCTGTGTACAAACAAACATGACATCTTTAGATTATGAAACCAAAGGAACTAGGTAGTTCAGATGAACAAGACTCAGAAATTTCCATCTAGTATAATGAGTATGAACAGTACATTATGTATCTAAACTGTTTTTAAAACAACCATTAATTAGACTAAGGTAATACTGTACAGTTGTAACCTTCAAACTCTGTAGCATTTTAGCCCTGGAAGAGTTGGTTTATTGTATTGAAAAGAGTAGCTTTAAACAGAGTTGTTGTATCAGCATCTCAGCAGTTGAGGACTGGATTCTCTCCTTACTTTTAATATATAACTATTTTAATTATTCATCCCCTAGATTCTCCCATGGAATCTTTTAAAATTCTAAAATCTAACAGTTTTGGTTAGGTTATTTTATATTATAACCTTTGTAGTATGTTTAATAAATGGAAACATTTCTTTAATAAAATATATATATGTTGGTTGTTTACAGGTTCCTTTGCTACAGCGTCTTGCCTGATTTGTAAATACAAAGTTGACTGTGAAGCTGTACGAGGAGATATTTTTAATCAGGTAATTTATCACCCATATTTTAGGAGTTGTGCATGTCTCTGATCTCTTTCTTTTTTTGCCTCCCAAACCTTTTTTTTCTGAGAGTATTTATGTGGTACAGAAGGATCTAGGAAGAGAGCGTTATCTCTGGGAATTCTGGTGAAATACACAAGAACCTTTCAGTACCTTAAGTTGGAAACATTGGTTCTGTAATGTCTCTAAAGTGATGAAATTGGCTCCTTAAATACTGAAGACTAAAATAATAAGCCAGGTCATAAGTGAGGTGTTGCTGTATTAGTTTTTCTCCTTACAATCTCCCTTTTTAGTGCCTGTCAGATTCAGAATCTTAAATTAGGGTGGTAATTCTTTAAGACATTTAAAAAGTTATTGTAGAAGGTATTTCATGTATGCTCACTGCCAAAATATTACAAGAAAATATGACAAAGAATAAAAACTGTCCAGAAATAAATTCTGTTTACTTACCTGCATATATAATCATGTATAATTATGAGGATAGTATATTAAAATGGAATTGTATCTTTTTTTAATGAATGATTTTGAGAGAAAGAAAGAAACATTGATTTGTTGTTCCACTTACTTATGCATTCATTGGTTAATTTTTGTATGTGTCCTGACCGGGTATCAAACCTGCAACGTAGGCATATCAGGAGAACTCTCTAACCAACTGAGCTACCCAGCCAGCCCAGAATCATTGTATCTTACAGACTTTTTTTTAAAGGTGTGTGTGTGTGTGTGTGTGTGTGTTGTGTACACATATACACATGCTATTTTTTCCTTTCAATATGCAGTGAACCCTTGAATATCAAATGTAGGTTTGTACAGATGTATAACAGCATACAGATAATAGCAATATTGTATTTCATTATATGCTAATGAACAAATCTTTGGTGAAATTGACATTGCTGTTTAGGTTGTATCCTGTTTCCCTGCTATTTATCCACAGCTTTTCTGTTTTCTTTGATTTTGAAATGAATTCTTAGGAAGTGTGGAAATGCTGACTATTTCTAACTTGGGCTTTCCCTTCTCTTCCCCACTGGATCCAAAAATCTGAAACATGCAGGTGGTTCCTCGATGTCCTAGGTGCCCAGCTGATGAACCACTTGCTATTATGAAACCAGAGATTGTCTTTTTTGGTGAAAATTTACCAGAACAGTTTCACAGAGCCATGAAGTATGACAAAGATGAAGTTGATCTCCTCATTGTTATTGGGTCTTCCCTGAAAGTAAGACCAGTAGCACTAATTCCAAGTAAGTTGTTAATGATTTTTAGAGAGTATTTCCTTGTGAGGCTGTACAGTACAACAGATCCCAGTTATCTTACTGTGTTTCTGGTTAAAGAGTGATGAAGAGCCAAACTTTTATTTTTCAGGTGTCATTGTTCATGAAGTTTGGTTAATCTGACTTGGTGGGGTGGAGAGAGGAAGACGGATGTCAAAACAGAAATAATGTCAATACTCTGATGTATATGAAAAATTAAGACAAAGGAAAACAGTTCAAGTTAAACTAAGTTAAAATTGAGAGGAGTATACTGTATTATATAAGGTAGAATTTGGGGATTCAAAATGATTAGCTTGTTTTTGTAAGAATAATCATGCCTTGTCATAATTGTTGTATGTGGATGTACTTTATCCATAAGGGTATTTTTTGTGTATAAAAATGCTCAAATACAATTGAGGTCCTTGTTATTGTCAGGGACACATGCTCATACTACTTCTTTTCTCCCTCTAGTGAGGAAACAAGGGAGAGGAGGAAAATGAAGGGAAACTAACTCTGTAGCATCAGGTGTGCCCTAAAAAATGAAGGAAGGAGAAGAGGGGAGAATATCAAACCCTTAATCAGAATTAAATTAGACTCCTACACCAGCAGTCAAATAGGCAGCCGTGTAAACAGTTGGAAGAAACAAGGATTTAAACTCTTTAACTCTGCATCTTTTTCCTACCCTGCTGCGTACAGTTGCTTTTAGCAGTATAACTCTCTTCCCTAAGTAACTGCGAAATTCAATTTATAATTAAATAAAACATGAAAATATAATGTAGAAGCTCCTTTATTTTTGAGGTTTTTTGTTGTTTTTTTCTCAAAGGTAAGACAGACATTTTTTTTAATTGACTTGAAAAAGCGAGAGAAACAATTTGTTGTTCCACTTACTTAATGCATTCATTGGTTGATTCTTGTATGTGCCCTGACTGTGGCGTATTGGGATGATGCTCTAACCAACTGAGCTACCTGGCCAGTACTAGGCAAAAACATTCTTAAAAGCCTTCTGGGGGATAGTATAATAGTGCATTGGTGATAGGCAGGTGTAAAGGTACATTTTAAAAATGTAATACACAGGCATATAATAGTGGAGAATAGACTTGTATGAATTTTCACACTTTTCAAAATTTATTTTTTAATTATATTTGACATACAGTATTAGTTTCAGGTGTACAGTATAGTGATTAGAATTTATATACCTTATAAAGTGATCACTCAGATAAGTCTAGTACCTATCTAGCACCATACACACTTACTGCAATATTAGTGACTATTCCTTAGGCTCTGATTTATATTCCTGTGACTATTTTTATAACTGGCAATTGTACTTCTTAATCCATTTCACCTTTTTCACCCATTGCTTCATCCCTCTCCACTCTACAGTCTGGCGACTATCAATTTGTTCTCTATATGTATGAGTTTCTGTTTTGTTTTTGTTGTTTAGATTTGACATATAAGTGAAATTATAAGGTACTTGTCTTTCTATGTTTGATTTATTTCACTTAGAATAATACGCTGCAGGTCCATCAATGAAATGACAAGATTTTATTCTTTTTTCTTTTTAATTTTTACCAGAGGACATGTTTTTATTGACTTGAGAGAGAGAAACATTGCTCGGTTGCCTCATACATGCCCCAACTGGGATTGAACCCTCAACCTGGGCATGTGCCCTGACCAGGAATCAAACCCGCCACCTTCTGATGTATGGAATGGTGCTCCAACCAACTGAACCACACCGGCCAGGGCTTGCTCATTTTTTATGGCTGAGCAGTATTCCATTGTGTATATATATACTACCTCTCCTTTATCCACTTGTCTACCGATGGACACTTAGGTTGCTTCCGTATCTTGGCTATTGTAAATTATGCTACAGTGAAGCCATGGCCAGGCAGCTCAGGTGGTTGGAATGTCATCCCAGTGCACCAAGGTTGCGGGTTTGGTACCCAATTGGGGCGCACACAAGAAGCAACCAGTTAATGTATCGATAGGTGGAATCTGCAACCTTTTGTTACATGGACAATGCTCCAGCCAACTGTGCCACACTGGCCAGGGTAATGCACTCCTTTTATGTGTGTTGCCTTTGGCAGTGAGATTGTTTTTCCTTTCTTATTCATATTTTTGCTCTTTTTCTACCTAAGAAGTCCCTTTTACATTTCTTACAATACTGGTTGGTGATGGTGAAGTCCTTTAGCTTTTTGTTGTCTGGTGTACTCTTTATTCCCCTTTGATTCTAAATTATAGCCTTGCTGGGTAGAATAATCTTGGTTGTCGATCCTTGTTTTGCATTACTTTGAATATTTCTTGGCAATCCTTTTTGGTCTGTAATGTTTCTGTGGAGAAATCAGCTGACAGTCTTATGGGAGCTCCCTTGTAAGTAACTATGAGCTTTTCCCTTGCTGCTTTTAAGATTCTGTCTTTAACCTTTGCGACATTTTCATTATGATGTGTCTTGGAGTGGACCTCTTTGGGTTCATCTTTGGGATTCTCTGGTCTCCTGGACTTGTATGTCTAGTTTTTGTTTTGTTTTTTGCCAGCTTAGGGAAGTTTTTAGTCACTATTTCCTCAAATAGGTTTTCTGTCCTTTGCTCTTGTTCTTTTCTTGGGACCACTATGATATGAATATTGGTATTCTTGATGTACTAGAGGTCCCTTAAACTGTCCTCATTCTTAAATCTTTTTTTTTTTTGCTGTTACAATTGGGTGTTTTTCCCTGCTTTGTCTTCCAGATTGATTTGATTCTCTGATTCATCTAATCTGATGTTGATTCTGTCTAGTGTGTTCTTCATCACAGTTATTCTTCAGTTTTGATTGGGTCATTTTATGTTTTCTGTCTCCTTTTTTATGCCTTCTCTGAGTTCATCTGTTCTCCCAAGTTCACTGAACTGTCTTATAGCTAGTGTTTTGAACTTCTTTGGTAGATTACTTGCCTCCATTTCATTTAGTTCTTTTTGTGGAATTTTGTTCTGTTCTTTCACTGGGACTTGTTTCCTCATTTTGGCTGACCTCTTTGTTTCTATGTATTAGTTAGATCTGCTGCAACCCCCAGTCCTTACAGAGTGGCCTTAAGTAGGTGTCATGGGGAGCCCAATGGCACAGTCTCCTTGGTCACCTGAGCAGGGTGCTCCAGGGGTATCCCGTGTGGGTTGTGTGTTTCCTCCTGTTGTAATTGGGCCTTGATGGCTGGTAGATCAGTGCGTGGGGTTGACCTTCAGGCTGACTGGCTGTGACTGTAGACTGCAGCTACCACAGATGAGCCGTTGTGGAGCATGAGTTGCTTTAGCATGGTTCTGGTGCCAGTGAGTGTATCAGTTGAGCTGGCTGGGTTGGGGCTCTGTGATCTAAAGCTGTCCACCAGGTGTGTTGGGTCTTGAGCCTCTTGGGAGGGACTCCAGTGCAGGCCAAGGTTAGCTGGGGCTTGTGCTGTTCTTGGGCAGCTTGGTAGATCTGTGGTTGGTTGCCACTTGTGCTGAGCTGGAGGTGCTTGGAAGACACTATGCAATGAACCAGGGCTGGCTGCCAGTTATGCCAGACTTGGCAATCTTTGCTGGGCACTACAATGAGATGAGCTCAGCTGCCGTTTGTGTCAGGTTTGTGGCTTCTTAGTTGGAGTTATGTTACAAACACTGGCCACCACTTAGCCAGGCTTGCAGCCACCTAATGGGAGTTAGAATGCTGGTTGAGATTGGTCGCCCTTGTGCTGGGCTTGGGGCTGCTTGGCAGGAGCTATAGTGCATGCCAGGGCCAGCTGCTGCATTGTGTGGGGTTTGCGGACCTTTGAGAGAGTTTGTAGCACCAGCCAAGGCCAGCCAACACTTGTGTGAAGTTTTCAAATTTGGGGGAAAGTCCACAGTGCCAGCCGGGAAGGCTGCTTGTGTGGAGTAGTGAGTAGGAGAGGCTCTGGCCAGGCAAGGAATTTGGGTGGGGCCAGGTGAACAGTGTTAAATTAATGGAGAGCACAGATTTGGTGCCCGCTAGCACTTCCTTCCCCAGAGAAAACTTGACCCCCATCTCCGACCTTCCAGCTCTCGCCCTGAAGTTAGTCCATTTACTTCCTTCCCATATGTCCTTGGCATTTTTCAAGCTGCTGCCCATGCTGGAGCTTAGAGCATGGGTCCTTTAAGAGCAGCACTGCTTTCTTTCACAGGTTTTGACACTCTCAGGATCCCTGCTGGTTTTCATAGCCAGATGTTAATGGGGACTCCTCTTCTGACACTGGTGTCATGGGCTGTGGAGCCTGATATGGAGTTGGGACTCTGCTCCTTGGGCAACCTCAGCAGCTAAGATCTCTCTCCTGTGGGTACAGGACCTTCCTGTTCTATGTCTCTGCCCCTCCTACTAGTCTCAATGTGGCTTCTTCATATCCTTAGTTATAGGAATTCTGTTAAGCTAGTCTTTAGGCGGTTCTCAGTGATGGTGGTTCTATAATTGTAACTTTTTAAAAATGTTTTTATTGATTTCAGAGAGAAGAAGGGATAGGGAGAGAGAAATAGGAATGTCGATGAGAGAAAAACATTGATTAGCTGCCTCCTGCATGCCCCTTACTGGAGATCAAGCCCGCAACCTGGGCATGTGCCCTGATTGGGAATTGAACTGTGACTTCCTGGTTTATGGGTGGATGCTCAACTACTGAGCCATACCGGCCAGACTAGTTGTAATTTTGATGTGATTGTGGGAAGATGCACGCTCAGAGTTTACTGACTGCCATCTTGACAGGAAGTCCTCACACTCTTTATGTCAGGAACTATTTCAGTAAAATAACAATCACTTGCTATGTGCCAAGAACTCTTCCATGTACTTGAAATATGTTAACTCATTTAATCCTCATTGCAATTTTGTGGGAAAGTACTGTTATTATCCCCATTATACAGACAAGGAAATTGAGGTACAGAATAAAAAAGTCTAAGAAGATCGCTTATAGATAACCAGATGACAGAAGCAAAACCTGAAATTTTATGAAAGATGCTTAACTGCTCATCTGTTTCCTTGATAACGTGATGAAATGTTAAAGGCTTGGCTTAGTATGAGTGGCTGGTTTCTTTTTTGGTTTTGGGAGCATGTTAGATTTTGGCATAGTGCATTTGTTGTGGCTTTATTACCTTACCTCCTTCCCTTTTTCTGTTATTTTTTACCCTATTTTTAGGTTCCATACCCCATGAAGTGCCTCAGATATTAATTAATAGGGAGCCTTTGCCTCATCTGCATTTTGATGTGGAGCTTCTTGGAGACTGTGATGTCATTATTAATGAACTGTGTCATAGGTTAGGTGGTGAATATGCCAGACTTTGCTGCAACCCTGTGAAGCTTTCAGAAATTACTGAAAAACCTCCACGAACACAAAAACAGTCAGCTCATTTGTCCGAGTTGCCACCCACACCTCTTAATATTTCAGAAGGCTCAAGTTCACCAGAAAGAACTTCACCACTGGATTCTTCAGTGATTGTCACACTTTTAGACCATGCAACAAAGAGTAATGTTGATGATCCAGATGTGTCTGAATCAAAAGATTGTATGGAAGAAAAACCACAGATAGTACAGACTTCCAGGAGCACTGAAGGTGTTACTGAACCGTTGGAGGGTCCGGATTTGAAGAACGTTGGCTCCAGTACTGGCGAGAAAAGTGAAAGAACTTCAGTAGCTGAAACAGTGAGAAAGTGCTGGCCAGCCAAGCTCGCCAAGGAGCAGATTAGTAAACGGCTTGATGGTAAGAAACTGTTTTGGAAGATGTAATTATGGTAACAAAATATTTGCAAGAAATGAGCAACTTTGGCAAGTTTGTTGATAGGGTAGCTTTATGCAGCTAAATGTAACATTACAAAGTTGAGTAGTCAAGCTAGAGAAAGATAAACAGTGGTATCTTACATAGTATGGGGAAGAAATAGTGTGTTTGAAGTATGCTTAGTACCTTGTGTTACTCTAGGCACTAAGAAGGTAAATATTAAATTGAGAAGAAAGTTGGGAAATATTGAGTGCTCTGCCACTGGTGAGAGATTTATCTAGTAGAAATGATGGCTGAGATTCAGTGCTTATTGTGGGTCAGCTGCTTTACACACAGTATCTGACTTTAATCATACAAAGTAGGAACTATTATTACATCTCTGCTACAAGTGGGAAATCTGAGGAACATAGAGGGTAAATACCTTGCAGAGTAACAACCAGGATTTGGAAGAACCAAGATTGTATTCCAGGCATATTCCCAGAGCCAGCCCTTTAACCACTGGTGCTCTGTTGTCTCAGATCTAGGAAACATCTGATTCTTCTCCGTTAATTATAAGGAATAGCACCTCTTTTGCTACGTGGAAAGTCTTGACCAATTAGTATTAACATAGGTAAAATTACTTTCTACCTCTGGAAATCAATGTTTAAGTTCAAGTAACATCTGGTGAAAAATCCTAATTTAAGTAAAAAACACTCTAACTTAGATACAGCAATTTTGTACAACTTAAATCATTTATTCCCATTCCATTTACCATACATGGTAAAAACTGACACAGATCTTAGACAAATGTGTTAAATGTTCTAATCATTGGTCATAAATGCATTTTAGTTCAGTTGAACAAGTCTTTGCTCCTTTTCCCTAGTAGGGATTAGCAAGTTCTGGAGACACAATGGTCAAACTGCTGATCTTTGTGTATAATTATAAGAATGGAGATCATAAAAAGTAGGTGATAAGTAGGCCCTCCTTGGAGAGGATTAGGTTATAGAAGGCTTTCCAAAGAACACCCGACTCCTCACTTTGGACTTGGAAGAGTAAGTAGAGTTAAAAGTAGGGGAAGTCTTCCTAGGGGAAACTAGAGAAAGATTAAAAGAATGCTTGTTTGCAAATGTGGAATTTCTCCATTGTTGTTGTGAGTGGGGTTCTTTCAGTATCTTGAGAAAAAGAATTTTCTAAGACCCGCATGAGAGATTGAGATGTGGTAGAAAGGTTTATTTGCATGAAATTATATCCCTTAGGTTGCAAAGTCCCACATCCCTTAAACCAATCCTGGAAATTGTGCAGCTGGGACTTCAGCAGAGCTAGAAGTGGAGCCAGTGGCCAGAGTTTCTGTTCCATGGTGGAGTTGAGTCCTGTACAGCATCATGCTAGTCCCAGTCTACCAGTCCAATGTGTGGTTCCCACATGGTATGAGTCTCGTGGGTGAATGCAGGGGAACACCCCCCCTGCAACAGGAGAGCCAGGAGTGCAAGAAGGCCAAGGGAGCAAGAGAGAGGAATTCCTTTGTTTAGGGCAGGGGTGGGGAATGCTCAGCAAAATCATTTAGTCTGGCCCTGCCAAGGCAACTGCAGGCAGGACTCGAAATTTAGTAAAGCTAGCTTTTTTCATAGCTAATTTTTAAGTTGATGACTTTGTATGAATGATGTTATAAATATCCAAATGGCCTTTGGCAGAAAAAAGTTCCCCTGGTTTAGGAGTTAAGTATCTCATATTTTGTGCCCTTTCAGTGGCCACACCTATTCTGGCCAATGACTTGGTCGCAGGTATTATTGACAGACAAGCACCTTTTTTACATCACCTAGACTTTGCTGGGCATGTGTCTAAATGGCAGCTTCCCCTTGCTACTTTCCAATTATTAATTAATAACCAGGTTATTACAACGGTATCAGTAGGACTCAGAAGTAGAAAAATTGCCATTGACTTAGGTAATATAAGTCTCTACCATATACAGAGTCTGCCCATGCACTGGAAGACTTTTACACTGGGGGTTTTCTTCGAATATCTTTTATTATTTTTTGGTTAATTCTCGCCCAAGGATATTTTTTGCATTGATTTTTTTTCCCCCTCGTTGCTTTTCAGAGAGTGGGAGGGGTAGCGGGGGGGGGTGGATGTGAGAGATACATTGAGTGGTTGCCTCCTGCACGTGCCCCAACCAGGGCTGGGGATGGAGCCTGCAACTGAGGTATGTGCCCTTGGCTGAAATTGAACCCAGGACCCTTTAGTCCGCACTCTAACCACTGAGCCAAACCAGCTAGGGCTGAATATCTTTTTGATGGATGGGCCAAACACAGAATTCTTTGCCCCAGTAAACAAAGGTTAAACTTGGAGCTGTCTCTTTGGTATTCTACTTTGGTTTTACTCTACCAATTTATCCTTAAAAGTACAGGTTCTGGCATTAGACCCGAGTTGTCTCAGATCTACCTTGGGTAGTTACTTGATCTCTCACTTTCTTCATCAGTAAAATGGAAATAAAATAGCATATATTTCACAGCATTGTGAAAATTTTAAGGGATAACTGAAAAGGGTAAAATTGTTGCTATTAAAATCAAATGACCAACTGACTTTATGCACTCATTTTAGTTTGCACTGTTGTGAGGTTAAAGCTGAGAGGAGGAAGTGGGAGCATATGTGAGGTAAACACTTAATTTTCTTGGTTGCCAAGAAGAGGGCAGAAACAAACAGGTGTAGAGGGTACTTGGGCTGTGAAGTAGATTATTCGGTTCTTCTGGGGGCCCAGAGCAGAATAAAGCTCCTTTTTTTTAGAAGCATGAACCAAAACTATAGAAAGGAAAAGTATATATAGCACCTTAAAAGACTGAGTGGGTAGGATTCAAAGGAGATGACCCTGTTAAGAAATGCCAGATGGGGTTGTCTGTTAGCAGCTACAAGATAAGTCCTTGACTCCCTCCTCTGATCATGGAAATTAATACTGGTGGCTTAGAAAACTGAAACAACTGGTTTTTACAGTGTAATTTGCGATGTATTAGGGGTTTGTGAAAAGAGTTTTGTGGCTTCTGATCAGAATTGTCACAATTAGGTGGTTCCAATGTGAAAACTGGGTCATAATGGGGTATAAAGTTTGAAAGCCATTTTAAAGAGAAACTAAGGTTTGCTTGGCAGATGGCATGTCAGTGCAGATCAGTTATGTAGTAGACTTTTGAGAACCTGGGGGGTTATGGTGTAATACAATATTATGTGTGAAAACAGACTTATGTTAGAAGCTACTTGTGAGTTTAATGGTAGGAAACATTTCATCATTAATGTTTAGGGTCCCCATCCATTCAGTTAAAAATCACAGTGTAAACAAAAGAAGCTAAACCTAAACCAAATTTGACCAAGCTGGGACATTTAACTTTGTGAGTAGAACATCTTAGAGGCAGTGCTCTTGACCATGGTCCATGGCTTAGGGGGGAGAAGGAACTCTTCTTACCATAGGTCAAATTTCATACTGTGAATGCGAAATTGGAAGGGAGTTGGGAAGAAAGGTTAAAATCTGTTGCTATACCAGTGCCCCTCTCTCACTGCAGTGTGTATTAGGACTCTTAAAAAGATAGATTGATTCAGTAGGCGGGAAGTGTGGGGCCTGGGAATCTAAGTTTGAAACAAACTCAGGTGATGCCAGTGTCTGCAGACTACTTTGAATAGGTGGTAGAGCTGTACTGACAAACTATTTCTCAGTTTATAATAGGCAAAGGTAAGTGAAAGTGTATAATAAAGATGCTTTGAAAGCATATGTGCCCTAAGACGTTATATTCAATGAATATGAATTGGTATCTAATGTAAGCTAGGCTAGGTACTTCGTTTCATCTCATCAAATCTGTTTGAAGAAGTTGGTTATGTAGCCATTATTGAACATGGTTCTCTACATTTTTTTTTTTTCATAATTTACTTCAGAGGGCTGTTAAAATTAATTTTTTCCAGATATGGAAATTGAGGCAAAGCGGTAACTGCCCAAATTTACGAAGTTCTGGTGAGTAGCAGAACTAAGTTTCGCACCCAGTACTGAGCCTACAGCTTGTTTGAAAATCACTGCAGTAGTAATAGCCTGTACTGATGCTCTGGTAAAAGGCAGAGCTGGAACCGACGCTGACTCTGGACTGCCAGTCCCACCCAGTCAGTCTTACAAAACTGGAAATAACTTACCGTTTCTCTTTTATTATTCCATTCCAGGTAACCAGTATCTGTTTCTACCACCAAATCGTTACATCTTCCACGGTGCTGAGGTGTATTCCGACTCTGAAGATGATGTCTTGTCCTCCAGTTCTTGTGGCAGTAATAGCGACAGTGGGACGTGCCCGAGCCCAAGTCTAGAAGAGCCCGTGGAGGATGAGAGCGAGATGGAGGAGTTTTACAACGGCTTGGAAGAGGATGCCGATGCCGATGAGAGGGCTGGAGGAGCTGAATTTGGAGCTGACGGGGGTGATCAAGAGGCGGTTACTGAAACTACATCTGTGAAACAGGAAGCAACAGACATTAACTATCCATCAGACAAATCATAATGTAATAATTGTCCAGGTACAGGAATTGTTCCACCAGCATTAGGAACTTTAGCATGTCAAAATGAATGTTTACTTGTGAACATGATAGAACAAAGGAAACCAGAAAAGTGTAATATTTATAGACTGGTAAAATAGATTGTTTTTTTCATGGATAATTTTAACTTCCTTATTTCTGTACTTGTACACTCAACACTAACTTTTTTTTTTTTTTAAAAGAAAGGTACTAAGTATCTTTAATCTGCTCTTGGTCAACTTTCTTTTAAAGGTTCATTTGTATGATATCCATATGTATATATAATTTTTGTTTATACATTTTGCCTAGCGAGTTTCAACATTTTAAAGTTTGCAAAAAGCCATTGGAATGTTAAATTAATGTAAAGGGAACAGCTTATCTAGACCAAAGAATGGTATTTTCATTTTTATTCAGTATTTCTTTGTAACATTGAATGGTTTGAAATCCTCAAATCTCTGTTCTGCTAAACTTTTGATTCTTTATTAGCACAATTACCTATTTTTAAACACTGGCATTTTCCAAAACTTGTGGCAGCTAACTTTTTAAAAATCTCATGACATGCAATGTGAGTAGAAGGAAGTCAACAATATGTGGGAGAGCACTCAGTTGTCTGCTTTTTAAAGTAAGACTTGGTGCTAAGAGTTTCAGGAATATTGTATTGTTTAAATGAAGATGGCTTTTGTACTTCCTGTGGACATGTAGAAATGTCTATATTGGCTCATAAAACTAACCTGTAAAACAAATAAATGCTTTGGAAATGTTTCAATTGCTTTAGAAACAGTAGTGCCTGCCTGGGTCCCCTTAGTTTTGAGAATGTGCCATTGTTGTTTCAATGCCTGTCACTGTGGTGAAGCTGACACTGATCCTTTTCCACAAGTATTAAACTGCCAAGACGTGGATATGCAAAAGCCTTTATGACCTATGATAATGGTACTTGGGGAGAGTGTAATATTATGGACTGTTGCTTTTCTTTTCCATAGATGAGGAGAGTGACAGGTCCCCGATTACGGTTCCAAAGTAATAGCGTATTAATTATATATAACTCAGCCAGTAAGTACATGTCTCCTGTTGGGAGTATTTGGTGTAATAAACACCAAACTGCTAGCCTAGTACTATGGAGATGAACGTGATATAACTTGTACTAGCAGAATAGTTAATGAATGAAATTCCTATTGTGTCTTTATTTAAAAGCTTAGCCTGCCTTAAAACTAGAGATCAACTTTCAGCTGCAGAAGCTTCTAGCCTTTCAGAAAAGTTCATACTTTTTAAAATTGCATACTAAACATTTATTTTCCAGACTTTTCCAAACATTATTCCCAAATTATAAAGTATTCCTATGTTGCTTTGGTATTTATTACAGTTTTTAAGAAGGGTTTGAAATACAGCTGTTCTTTAAGCATAAAGTACCCAGCTAGGACCATTACTGCCAGAGAAAAAAATTTTATTGAATGGCAACTTCCCCACCTAAAAGGTGTCTCAATCTGAATTTGGCTACACTAAAGAATGCAGCATATTTAGTTTTTCATTTGCATGATGTGTTTGTGCTATAGATGATATTTTAAATTGAAAATTTGTTTTAAATTATTTTTACAGTGAAGACTGTTTTCAGCTCTTTTTATATTGTACATAGTCTTTTATGTAATCTACTGGCATATGTTTTGTAGACTGTTTAATGACTGGATATCTTCCTCCAACTTTTGAAATACAAAACCAGTGTTTTATACTTGTACACTGTTTTAAAGTCTATTAAAATCTTCATTTGACCTTTTTCCCGTTAACTTACATTGTTTAAGTCATAAAACTTTAAAATCTTGCAGTTTGTATAGCTTTCAGGGCTGTGTTAGATGCTGACTTTTCATAGTAAATTCCTTCAATTTATAACCGCCTAAGCAGAATGAGCACTGACAGTGCTGGCTGTAGCAACTGGTGCATCACCAAAAGTTTCTAAACCAGTATTTCAGCCATTCTAGATCAAGAGCCCCTGTAGGTAAGATGTAGGGGAAAGGCAGGGCCTAAGAAAACTTGACACATAAAGGCTTGGGGGGAGCGGCACAAAAGGGAATGGTGCAGATGTGGTGAATTCCAGGGCCCACGTTAGAAAGGCTAGGCTTTCTGTGAAATTTAGTCTCCTGGTGCTACGTCTTCCAAGTCATCATACAAGGACTGGGAAAAAAAACACGACATCGGGTATGAACTTTTTGATGCTGACTTGGATACCTACTTAATCCATTCAAGTTCTTGAGGTATAAAGTACTACTTTTCAAGAGGCCAGGAACACACTCCTTAAAGAGTATAATGAATAAAACCTTGACTGCAGTTTCCTGCTCTGAGATCTCCTGCCTTTCTCACCAGTAAACTTTTGAAGAGAATTAAAAAAAAACCCAATTACTCTGCTCCAGTATATGCTCCTTGCACAAGAAAAATTACCTGTAAAATCCCATCCTCAGGTGTTATAACGGTGTATGTACCTTCAATCGCTGGTATTTTACATCATCTGCCTATTAAGCATTATTTGGTTCTTTATTTGGAATAAGTCTTAATTGTTATCTAAAAGGTGTAAGCACAGCAAAACCTCTCCCCTCGAAAATGAACAAAGTCTAAGCGTTCAAATCAAGCTAGGATGCTGGCAGAAATACAGAGAAAGGGTCTATTTCCCCTCTTTTGAATGGCCCTCAACTGGAAACTAAGTATATATAACCTACTCAGCATCACCTCTCTTAAAGATTCAATTGGCATAAGGTGGGGCTTGTGCACAGGATTAAAAAGTACCCCCAGGTGACTGAAAAGCATAGCAAGGGTTGAAAGAAAGGGAAGGAATAGGGGAGTTATCTTTTTTTTTTTAGAGAGGAAAGTGGGGGGAGGGAGACGATGTGAGAAAAACCGATTGGCTACCTCCCAGTATGTGCCCAGACCAGGGATCAAACCTGCAACCTTAGGTATGTGCCCTGACCAGGAATCGAACCCATTACCCTCTGGTGCACGGGATGATGCTCCAACTGAGCCACACCGGCCATGGCAGGGCAGTTACCTTTTGCACCAGGTTTAACAGTGAAGGCTGACTTACATAAAACAGGCAGACTCTATTCACAATTTATCTCTAGAACTAATTCATCAATTAGCACTAACGAGGGTGGGGAGCTATGGAAATAGGGTGAATTCTTTAGCCAAAGGAGCAAACTAGCATGAGTTTGGATGGCAAAAGGTGGTGGAGTGGGAAGAGGCTGAGAACGAGAGCACATACCCCTTGGTTTCCGAGAGCTCCCAGAGCTTAGAGAGTCCTCGGGAAGACTGCCTTGCAAACACTTCACTTTGATTTAGGACTTTTTGTTAAACTAAAGGAAGGAAAAATCACAGGAAGGTGAAAAATCTGTTAGTAGAAATGAACCCCAATGAATGGTCCTTATGAGTGGACCCTACGTGAAGGCCGGGACTCTTGGTTTAGGTCTCCGTTTAAAAACCCACATTCTGGTTTTATTTCATACCAATTTAAAGGTGTATCTTGGTTCTACTACTTGCTCAATCAGTCTGAACAAAGGCTATTGGTTAAAATTACGACTAAAGGCAGGAGCTACCAATACCAAGACAATTGCTATTAAATCTGATAGGAGGCCAAATATTTCCAAGTTTAGCCAACTCTATAATCATGGTCCTTAAAACTTAAGTGAATTCAGTATTTGCCTCCTTTCTACTCTGCTCTACAAAGCTCAAGGTATTTTTATTTTATTTTAAAGTGCAAATGGAAATTTGAAAAAAAACTTTTCGTTTTCTACCATGAATCTCCTTGTTAATGTTATTGTATGTCTGTAGCAACAGAGGAAAAGAATACCGGACTTACCCAAATTAAGCCTCATAGTGTTGTGTTCCCAGATAAGATGCCAGGTCCTTGGTTAAAATATTAGTTCGATGAATTCCTTCTGTATTGATCCAAAGTGGCTGCTGCTTCACTTATCAGCTTCATAAGCATGTTTTTAATGTGAACAATCACTACTCTCAAGGAGAATGGATGGGTGCACAGGGAAACTATAATACCAGGTACATGGAATAACTTTCACAGGGAAGGATGCTATTGTGAGGAAAATTATCTTAGGTGAAAGCACTGTTTTTACGGCTTCTATCTATAAAAAGACATCTATAACCACCAGTAGAAGTTTTTAGGTTAAATTACTGAAAAATACAAGTACACAATCTCTTCTCCAAAAATCCTGAGCTCAATTTCATTTTGGAATTATGAATTGTTAAAGAACTTTTTAAAGCACATATATTATGTAGCACACCATATGGCCTGAGGCAGCATTTAAATCAAACACAATAAACAAACACATTAATAGTGCCATAGGAAAATGTACAAAAAGTCCCATTAATATCAAATAGCCTCAACAATTCATACCGGACTTTGCTGCAAAATGAGAGATGCCAATTTTTTCAGAGTTGTTTTAGATTTTGGAATTTCAGCTACGAGACTTGGGGACTACTGTAAGATAGACCAATTTGTATGGGGATGGGAACAATCTGAAATTTAAGAGACCTTCCCTGAGACATTACTCTTCTTGAAGAATTTTGAATGTTGTATGAGAACCACTGAAAATTTACATATTAAACCATTAAATCTTTATTATTTGAACAGTTTTCACGGTATATTTTTATAAATTTAAAAAATAAATATTTGCATTATAGCAGAAAGTCACGTGTTGCATCAACTGTTACAATTTAATTACAAGAGATAACTAAGCATCAGCACCATAAAACTAAGATTTGTTTCTTAAAAATTCAAGGAAATAGTTCTAAAGTACTGAAAATTCTGACTACATACCAGCCTGCAGCATCAATAGTTCTGAAAACTCTAACTAGTGATTGGTTCTCATAGTAGCCAATGTTTCTATTTCTGGCAACTGTAGTACAAAGTTCTTCCATTACTAAATATTAAGCTTTCTGATAACCTCCCATTTATCAGTAGCATCCCAAAATTCACAAAAGGAAAGAACTATAAGTTATTTAGATAACTCCTACCCATAATTTAGGTTTGCACAAGGACATTTATTCTAGCAAAAAAGCAAAGATTGTGTTTTACCATGCTAATTTTTGCTTTTATAAGTTCTCAGAATAAGATTTCAACCTTAATTTTTAACCCTTAAAAGACATCTCAGTTCAATTACAACCATAGAAACTGTACTGGTATCAGAACATAACTATTTTATTACAAAACTTAACATTATTTACAAAATGAAAAAATAATCAAATGACTATTGCAGGCCAAAGTTAAAGGTTTTTCACCCAGTGATTGAAGAAAAGTCAAGCAACATTTCCATGCACTCACACACCAGAGCATTTGTGAAATATGCAAACTCTTAAAATTCATGTTAGTAAAACTTCAATGTATTCACAATACTTGTATGTTTATTGGAAGATGGCAAAAAAACCCATGGTTATGTACAATAAGTTTAGTATTAACACAGTTTGTACTTTTCCTTTAATAGTTTTGGCTTTCATGACTACTAATAGCATTGAACATTTTGCAAGAATTGTAATAGTAACTCCCTCTGTCACCTTGTGGAATTCATTACCACAAGAAAAACACAGTTTAACGCTTTTGCAGTAAACGGAATAGTTATAATGCCAAAATTATATTAAACTGAAGCCTTCATTGTGATCAATAGCTTGGATCAGTTTAGAGCGTAGAGTTTCTTTTTCTGTATATTTTGGAAGATCCAGAAGATTAAAACAGGTATGGGAAACTGGGAGATACTCCTCACCACCTCCTGTTGACTGGATGACTAGTTTTAGACTCTTCATACCAAGAATAGGAATCCGATCACTACCTGTCAGAAATACTGCCAAGAAGAAAATCATTCAGCGAACCACTTTTATCAAAAACAATATAGGTCATCAAGTAATTTTCTACAGTCACTACGGTAAGCCTTTATATTACCATTTGCTCTAATGTGGAAGTTGGTTTCCAGAATTGGTGTGAGCATGATTTTTGAGACATAAGATAATTACACATCCACACACAGTATTTTTTCTTTAAAAGTGTATTAATAATAGCACACAGGAGATGTTTAATAAATGTCTGATGAGTGAATATTGTCCCTGACAAAAACATTTGGGAGCCCTTCTTTTGGGAATAACCGTTTAGAACTAGTTTATAAGTCAAATACAAAATGCAGTTTATGACTTTAACCAAGATTCTCATTTCAATTATCAAAACGAGATTGACAAAAGCATCCCTGGCAACAGCAAGAGTATCAAAGGCTGTGTCACTGATTTAGATATATAAATTCTGACAACTTTATTTAAAAATAGAGGGACATTTACACCATGGAATACTACATAGCTGTAAAGAAGGAGAATCTCGTACCCTTTGGGACAGTATGGATGGACCTGGAGAATATTATGCTAAGTGAAATAAGCCAGGCAGTGAAAGACAAATATCACATGATCTCGCTTATATGTGGAATCTAAAGAACTTAATAAGCTGATGAATAGATTCAATGACATGGAAGCATAGATGAGACTGACGAATGTCAGAGGGATGGAGGAGGGCGGGTGGGTGGAGGGGGAGAGAGTAACCAAAGAATTTATGTGCATATATGCACAACCCAAGGACACGGACAGTGGTGGGGAGAGAGACTGGGGAGAGGGAAGGAATGGGGTGGAACGGGTCATTGGGGAGAAAAAGGGACATCTGTAATATTTTAAACAATAAAATTTAAAAAAAAAGAAAAAAAAAGCTTAATAATTAGATTCCATTTTCATAAAACACAGGACTGGTTAGAAATACTTACGCAGAAATTGCTTTTTCTTTTCCAACGGCAATTCATGAAATACTTCCCAAAATATTTTTATTGTAGGATGTTCTGCCCAATACTCCCCTTTGTATTCTGTATTCTAAAAAAGAAAAACACACACAAAAAATATTAATATTTAGGGATATCAGTTTTGTCTTGAATCTGAAAAACTGACTTCACTTCCTTAGCACATTAACGTCCAAGAGTTTGAAACTCATGCGATTCAGTTGATTACCTTTATTTCCTGGGCATTTTGTAATTTGGAACTACTAGTTCCAGGGGAAAGAGAAGAAAATATGTACGAATCGACAAGAGATGTTGATTCCGCCATTTCAAAGAACATGATAGGACTGTAATATCTCCAAAATTAAATATCTAAAAGATAAACTAGAATTACTAAAATGTTAGTAGATTATTAAAGTTCAACATGGAATTACCTGTGATAATTATAAAATTTTCTTTTTCTATATTCATGAACAGAAGTCAAATTATTTATTTTCCATCCTATCTTCCCTTTAAAAAAGTGGTACTAAAAACACTAATAATTTTCTGTAGTAGTCCGTTTCCAAGATGGTGCCCCATGATCTCTGCCACCTGCTATTCATGCCCTTGTGCAGTCCCTCTCACACTGAATAGGCCTGATCTCTGAAATCATAGGATATTGCAGATATGAGAAATATATGACTTCTGAGGCTAGCTTAGGAAAAACTGACTACAGCCTCTTTTTGATCACCCACGTTGGGGGAGCCAGCTGCCATTTGATAAGGACACTCAGCTCTGTAGAGAGGTTCATGGTAAGATGCTAAGCTTTTGGCGAACAGCCACATGAGTGAGCTATCTTCTTGAAAGGGAAAATCTATCCTGAATCAAGCCTTCAGATGGCTAAAGCACCAGTCAATATCTTGATTACATCTCATAAGAGACCCCTGAGCTAAAACCACCCAGCTAAGCCATTCCTGAATTCCTGACCCACAGAAATTGTATGAGACAATAAATGTTCACTGTTATTGTTAAGCCACTAAGTTTGGGGGAAATTTGCAGTAACTTCTCCTTTAAAAAACATCAGCACTAAGAAAAGAGTGATAGGGAGGAAAGAGAATTAAGTCTATACTGTGAAGTGTTATTTTAAATCCAGTCATAGCTGCTTTAACTTTTAGTTCTTAGCAAGGACCTTTCAGCATCAGGGCCTTTGGACACACTGACCCCTCAGCCTACACCACTTAGACACATCCTCTTTATTCATCAAGCTAATTTCTATTTATCCTTTGGGGCTTAGACTAAATGTCATCTAATTCATTCAACAAGTATTTAATGAGCTTTAGTGAAAGTTTGGGCGCTGGGGAAACTGCAGGGAACCAAATCCTTACCTTTTGAAAATTACCATCTAGTCAGAAGCTTTCCCAGATTTGTGTAGCCCAGGCTAGGTTCCTTACGTCCCACTCCACTGAATTCTCTCCCTTTGCATTCATCACAGTCCAATTATTTAATGTCTAGCTAGCGTCCTCATTAGAAGGCAAAGACCATGTATCAATCTTAATAGTGCTATCTCCCTAATCTCTTAAAGTATGAGGCACCCAGCAGGGAGGGACGCAACAAATATTTACTAATGGGCTTCTTGAATTTTGCTCTCTATTGCAGCCAGGATTATCTCAATGACTGTATTTTTGAAATCTACAAAGTATTTGCTAGTAATTTGCAGAAATTTAATTTGGAGAAAATAGCTCCGATTCCAGCAATCAGTTAATGTATTAACTTGTTTGAATTAAATCCTGTGAGCACATGAGTGGGGAATGAAGGAAGATGGCTCAAGTTTTTTCTTTTTTCTCAAACCTCTAGCTGGTCCTGGGGAATGCATATAGTCCTGATAAAAGCATTTAAAGTCACAAATCATAATCACTAAAATTATAATGAACCAGATATACAATGGAAAAAACTATACTAAGTATAAGTACACTAAAATATACTAAAAAATTAATTACTCCTGTCAATTATATCTTCAGGCAAGGTTGTAAGTACTTACTGAGGGCTAGGCTCTGGGAATACAGCAGAAAACAAGGACAAAAATCCTGCCTTCGTGGTGCTCACATTGTAGTGAGGAGAAAAGAGTGACAGAGTAAAGACAATTAAGTAAAATTTATATTAAGTCAAATTCGAAGCTGAAAAATAAAGCAGGAGGCAGCTTGGGGGGTGGGTAAAAAAGGTTGAAGGGATTGAGAAGTACAAAGTGGGAGTCACAAAGTAGTCATGGAGATGTGAAGTACAGCACAGGGAATTAGTCAATAATATTGTAATAACTGTGTGGTGCCAGGTGGGTACTCGAAATATTGGGAGGAACCACTTTGTAAAGTATATGGTTATCTAACCACTATGCTGTACACCCGAAACTAATACAAAATAATACTGAACATCAACTATAATCAAAAAATAAAATAATAAAGCAGGGAAGGGAGATAATGTGTGTGCACCAGCATGCACTATTTTAGCTTAAGCTAACCACTGAAGGTCTCTGAAAAGGTATAACATAAAGTGAGAGCCAGAACCATCTGGAATTATTAAGGTGAAGAGAGTTCCAGGCACATGGAATAGCAAATAGAAAGGCCCCAAGACTGGAGTGTTTCTGGAGGGTTCTAGGCTCAGCAAAAAAGTCAACAACGCTACAGCAGAGAAAGGGAAAGGAAGAATGACAGGCGATGAGGCAAGGACAAACTGTAGGATATAAAGTATGATGAGAGGCTATTACATCATTTTCATTTTAGGGTGATTGCAGGTGGGGTACATGCTCACAGTATCTTTTTCTTTTCAGCAGATCAATTTATCCCCAAAAGAAATCTTCAATCTCCTTTCTGGAGGATTTAAGCCTGGGTACCACCTTTCTGAATACCATCCTTAGTTCTGTCTGGTCCCCCAGATTCTAAAGCCTCTCTCTGGAGTTGTCTTTTGTTGGGTAGAAGAGGGTAAGTGAAGGGTCTAATAATTCCTTAAATTAGCCTTAAAGTAATTCTATTGCTTTTAGTCCAACCCTAAATCCCTGCCATTAGAGTAATACGAAATAACAATTCGTGAGCCTTTCTGAAATTCTAGGGTGTGAAATGAGTTGCCTGTTGATAACTGTACTTCCAAAGGCTTAAAATTCAATTTTCTTTCTCTGAGTCACTCATAAATTCAACCACCTATTTTACATCTTCCAAAACTACTTTTATTCTTGTTTACTGTGTTTTATTTTTTTGGTCTGTGTATTTCTATTTCTATTCTTTCATTGTCATTCTACTGAGATTTTGGGAGTGTGCAAAGACAGATGTGTTTATTCCATTATGTTTAACCAGAGTCCTAAACTATTTTTTTAACTTAAAAATTTTATTCTCTAAATTATTATACCATAAAATTGATTTTTTTTCTGGTGTGTACATAGTTTTATGACTTTTAAACACATGCATATATTATTCAAGTAATCACCACCACCACCACAATCAGGATATTGAACTCTTTTGTGCTACCCCTCTGCAGTTACACACTCCTTCCACCCCTAGGCTTTGTTCACCATAGCTTTATCTTTTCAAGAGTGTCATATAAATGGAATCATACGGTATGTAATCCTTTTAGACTGGCTTCTTTCACTCAGCATAAGGATGCTGAGAGTCATCTCAGCTGCTGCATGCATCAATAGGACATCCTTTTTACTGCTCAGGAGTATTCTACTGTATGGATGTACCATAGCTGGTCTATCCATTCAACCACTGAAGGAAACCAGGGTTGCTTCCAGTTTTTGAGTTGTTTGAAGATTTTTAAAACCATAATGTTAGAAAAATTGTGGTAAAATACACAATACATAAAGTGTACTATCTTCACCCTTTACAGTTCAGTGGTAATTAAGTACATTCACACTGTTGTGCAACCATCACCACCATCCATCTCCAGACCTCTTTTCATCTTGCAAAACTGAAACTCTGTACCAACTGAACAGTAATTCCCTATTCCCCCCTTTTCTACAGATTTTTGTGTAAACATAACACCTAGGACTGGAACTGCTAGGTCAAATAGCTAGTATTCATTTATGTTATAAGAAAAATGCCAAACTGTTTCCAAAGTGGCTATACCATTTGTAGTCCCACCAGCAACATATGCGAGTTTCCAATGCTCTGTATTCTTGCTGTCTTAGTATTGTATTTTTTAAATGTTAGCTATCTTAATGGTTTTACCATTTGGTTTTAGCTGGGGCTCTATCCAGCCTCTATCATAGATGACATTTTCTATATGAATACCACCAATACCACAAATACAAAAATGCTATCTAGTTCATACACAATTAAAATCTATTCACTGTAGAGTAAGCAGGTGACAGTAATAGTGCAAAGTGGAAAAAAATAAGGACAAGATTTCCATCAATAAACCATGTTTTCCTTTTGCCTTTCCAATTAAACAATATCATAGATGTGTTTTCCCTTACCTTTTCCAGTTCCTTCCAATCATAATTGGTATTTCCAATAACCATTGCTTGTAGTTCATTAGGCTGGAAGAGCTGAAGGACTTTTCCTCCACAGACTTTATGAAAGCCCGCATGAAAAGCATCAAATAAGGAAGCCACAGATTTATTGAATATGTAATCCACATAAGCATCAACAAACTCCTGCCTAGAAATGAAAAATCATACATGCAAAGAATATAAAAATCATTTAATGGAGAATATATATTGTAGTCTTATTAAAACTTTGAGTGCTGACGTACATTTCTGCTACTTATTTACAAAACTGATTATAAGCAGGGTTCAAAGGGAATAAAGTCTTTACGGAGGAATATGTAATTCTTTCTATACAAAAATCTGATATATCTATGAGTCATGTAGACTTATTATCATTCACGACCATTCTTAGGCTATTCCTAAGTGAAACATGTTATTTCCTAATAGGAAGAATAATGATGCAACTGGCTACCAAAAGAATTTTAAAATAGTCACGAATTACTTACAATTTATACGCATCACTCCACAAGCATTCCTGAAAAGAGTGATCTGTTAAATGTATTAGGTGATGAAAAATGAAAGCTTTAGGATTCAGACTATCTGACAGACTGTAGTCTGTTTTTCCCTGGGTTGCAATAAATCTGGAACAAAACATTTAAAAAACTAAATACTAAGAGGGGTAATTAAGCATTCTTTTAAGATAATCATTAAAGACTACAAGTGTAGTTTCTTTTCAGATGCATGTTTGTATATACAAGTACATACACACACACACAAACTTCTGATGCTTTTTTGCCTGTTATGATACAAAAGGAAACTCTAAAGATAAAAAGGAAGCCCCTTTACCCGGTAATTAGAATTACAATTTTATTCAATTTGTTCTGTTAGCCATAAGCACTTTATGAAGCTATCTGGTGAAATAAATAAAATAAGAATGGGTACTAGAGGATTTCAGTATTTTATACTCTTGTCTTCCAAAATAAAAAGGATGATTCTTCAAATGGAAATACCGGTAAATTTAGTCATCTACAGATAATTTTCTTAGAAAATTGTAATTCCAAACTGAATTTACAAAGGGGAAAAAAAGGTTAAAGGAGGCCATTGTAAAATATGATATAGGTTCTGATAAGAAACATAATTTTGTAATGTATAATTTTATAATTCACCTAATTAGAAAGTCAAACTTACCTATACTAGTTAAATCTCTTAAAAGTCCCTTAAGCAAAAAAGGCTAAATTGCTTTATGTGCTAGTATATTTATCTCCAACACATTATGTAAGACTGATAGTACACAATCAAAATTCTTTAAATTATTTCTAAAGTAAATATTCATGTGAAATATTTTTTACAAACTTAAAGAATTAGTCCAACAATAGAAACTTTAAAAGTAGAAAAAAAGTATTTCTAAATCAGTCAAAGTTTCTCAAAAGCAAGATTAAAGAATAGCTAGAAAGACCTAATGTTTTTCACATTATTTTAGAAACAGTTTCGTTTTTATCAAAGTAAGACATACACACAGTTAAAAATGTCAGTAATAATTCTGAACAGCCAACATTTACTGAGCACATACATGTGCTAGGTACTATTCTAAGCCTCTTAAAATTATTGTCTCATTTAATCCTCAAAATAACTCCATGCAGTAGGTACAATTTATCATCCCATTTTACAGAAAAGGAGACCGAGGCACAGAGACATCAACTAATTTACCTAAATTTATACAGGTTTAAGGAACAGAATCAGGGTTATAATCATTGGGATGAAATCCCTGGCAAAAGCCATTATACTGCTCTAAAGAATTAGAACAGTAGAGAACAAAACAAGTTCTGGCTTACACCTTTCCACCAGAAATTCCTGCCATTCAAAGGCAACTGTTCGTTAACTCTCTGCTATACCTCCTGGTAGTTACCTTCAAACTTCAACAACATAGTTCTATTGTTATTTCTTGACTTCCAAATTTAAATATTATCTAAAGAACTGAGTACCTATTGTGAAAAGTGAGGATTTCCCTTTTATGTAATTGCCCTACTCTCGCTTTGCCTCGCAGAATGTTTCCATTATAACAATTTGGGGTTTAACATTAGTTGTTAACATTTTTATGATTTAAATATTATTCACAATTAAGCTACAGAGTATTATATGGTTACCTTTCTTTTCTTAAAGAGAACTTTGGCTTCCCTTGGTTTTACTTCATCCCCAATGTCAACAGAACTGTTAACCTTCTCTATTCATTCCAATAAATTAGCCTCAGCTGTACTCTCCTGAAGCCCTCCATCCTCTCGATCTAACTGGATGGGGTGCTCCTCCTACATACTGTTCCTGTACAAGGAATCCTCTTTGCCCCTCTCCTATACTGGATTCTATTTTGGGAGATTCCATGTCTTCTTCTTTCTTGGTTTAATTGCTTATTTTGGTAGAACACACCCTCCAACTTCCTGAGAAAAATGCACTGGAAGGGATATTCTCTGAGGCTCTGCATGTATAAAAATGTTTTTCATACACCCACATGCTTAAAAGTTTCAATATAAAATTCTAAGTTAAAAATCACTTTCTCCCAGAATTTTGACCTTTTAGCTTCAGTGTCATTCATTAGAAGTCTATTATTCTGGCTGTTTAATTCTTTGTATATGGTCTACTTTTTTTTTTTTTTCCTGGACGGGTTTTAGGGCTCCTTTTATTCCAGAATTTTGAAATTTCATGTATTTTGTCCTGTTATCTTTTTTTCACTCCATGCTTTCAATCGTAAAAGGCACTGCAGCTCTGGGAAGTTTTTCAGTACCATTTCTTTGACAAATTTCATTCATTCCATTTCTTTTAATTTTTAACAGTATCCATATGGATGCTACCCTTATCATTCTGAGGATACTGACTTCAGTTGCTTCATCCTGCGCTGTTTCTGTTTCCTTGGAATTCTTTTTGAGTGTTTTGGTCTTTCCTTAAATGTCTACTGACCTTTGGCTATCCATTCACATTTAAAAGTTAGGCAGTTTTACCAGAGAAGAATCCTCCAATATATAATGTCAAATAGGAAGGAGCTATAGATGCCCAAACTAGATTTTCAGTTCAGCCACTTGTCCCTGGCTGTGTCTAACAGTCCTCAAACCCAAAGTACCTTTACTTCAATCTCTCCAGAAGGCAAATTTCCAATCTTCCGCTAAGGCTTGAGAGGGGAAGATTACAGCTGGTGTGATAAGGGAAATGGGTTTCTAACTGCTGCTTATAACAGCCAATCTATCTGTTTCCAGCATTCCCCTAGGCTCCATGAACTTTCTTATTTTTTTATTCTCAATTCCAAAACCTTTGTTCTACAATCTGAACTGGCTATCTTCTTGGCTACTCCCAGTCCATCTTATGTTCCAGTTTTCTCTAGTTGGCTAAAGTTAGTTACCACTGTTTTCTAGCTTCCAAAAATGTGTTTGCTGTTTTCTCTTCTTCCTTCTCTTTGTTCTTGTTATGATCTTTTTAACCCTTTATTTATTAATATCTTGAAGAGATTTCAGGAGCAAAAGGCAAATTACTTACTCACTGACCATTAAAAAACTTAAGGTTGTGACAGGTTTCTAAGTACAGAAAAAAATGCCTACTGAATCTTAATACTACCACTGATGCTGCTATAATTCACTTACCGATTTTGTTTGTTAACAGCTGTGTCTGCACCATTTAGAACCAGCTCTTTCACTTCTGTTGCACCAAAGTTTTCAACTGTGATCTATTTAAATTTTTAAAAAAAGTCAATGTCAGACCCAAAATTTATTAGATTATTTTAATAACCTATTATTATATTCTACCTTTCTCTCATTAAATATAAGAACTAATAAATCTGAGGTAAAATTCGGCTACCATAAGCTTATTTGAATTCTGCATAAAGACACAACTACAAATTTTCATCTTCTCTAGTAGTTTGAAATCCTACCTCGACTAATTACAAATTACCAAATGGTTGGCTAGTTAAGAATAGGAAACTGAGTATTTTATCATGCATAAAATTTTAGAATGGTCATCAAGAGTAAAATATTAGAAAGGATGTTTTCCTTGGAAAATAGAAATCAAGTGTCAGAATGCATTCAGCATAGACAGCTATGCATTCTTACCACATGAAAGCTGCTAGTCCTGCATTCCTCCAATCTGCTTTGTTGCATTGATCATAGGCGGATTTTCCAGTTATGTCATTAACTTAGTTTATAAAGACAATTGGTTATTTTGAATTTTTTATTCCCCTCACTAGTACAGCTAACTTTCCTATAAATATTACCATTCCCACCTTTGCATCTTTTCTCTTTCTATTCCCTCTCTTTTGGGATATTATCCTCTTTTATTAAAACATTTTTTTAGTACCTGGTATCTATCTATAAAACACTATGGTGGGAGTGACATGATAAGAGATAAATAAATCCCTGATCAGGAGTTTACTATCTAGTGAAGGTGGAGAAATGTGATTATGTAAACAACTCATTATAATAAAATAAATGTTATAATAGAGACATGACAAAATGCTATCGGTCCACAGAGGAAAGAAAACTTACTTCTCCTGGAGGAGTCTGAAAGACCTTGAGGGAGAAATGTCATTTGAAAAGCACCCAGAAGAGTGAGGAGGGCTCTGAAAAACTGGGAGGGGTGGGGTTTCTGATTGAGCACATAGACTGAACACAAGCACCGATATGAAAGTAGATACCAAGTCCTGAAAAACGTATGGCGCTAAAAAACAAGAAGGTAGGGTATGCGAAAGAAAAATGTCTTTGAAGCCCACTCTAAATTATTCTGCAAGCAAGAGCCATTAAAAATCTCTAGGAAAGCCTGGCCAGCGTGGCTCAATGGTTGAGTATCAACCTAAGCACCAAGAGGTTGCTGGTTCAATTTCCAGTGAGGGCTCATGCCCGGGCTGCAGGCTTGATCCCTAAGCAGGGTGTGTGCAGGAGGCAGCCGATCGATGTTCTCTCTCATCAATACTTCTATCTCTCTCTCCCTCTCCCTTCCTCTCTCTCTAAAAATCAATTAAAAAAAATATATATATATATATATTTAAAAAATTTTTTTTAAAAAGAAAAAATCTCTAGGAAACAAACGGCAGTGGATATGTTTGAATTACCATAGTTCTTGAATACACTAAGCATTCACAAACTTAGTGATTGATAAATTAGAAATCGAATTGCTCAGAACCCAACGTTTAAGTCAATTGAAATGATCAATAAAGATTAGAAGATAACTGATATGCTTATAAGTGAATTAACTGAAAAGGGGAATCAAACTTTCATAGTTGCAAAAAAGTCCAAGAAGAATTTTTTTCTTGACAAAAACAATTATTCAAATAAATTTATTTCACCATAAATCTATCAATTTGCTTAAAATTGCACCATGTGCCAATTCTTAAAATAATCAAAGAATAGATACATTTTTCTGAGGGGGCACATAATTTTTTTTAGCAAATTGTATGAGCAGAATATGGTATATTTTGTTAGCTCTGACCACAAGATCACAATGAGGACTGTTTGGCAGGTAAACAAATATAAAAATAAGGTTTTTAAAAATAAAAAACACAACAAAAAACCTGGAGATTTTACCTTTTCCCAAGAGTCTAATTTATAATATTCAAATCATTCCCTTCTGAAGTGCCTTATCATAATCTTTACTGATTTTCTCATCCTTAATTGTCAACTAGTCTACTTTTACCAGGTTCTCATTTGTGACTGGATGAGTTATTCAACATCCCTTTCACAAAATTAACATAATTATGCATCTTTCATAAGATCTGCAGTTTCATTTTCCAAATAATATTCCAATGTACTTGCATTTCTATTATGTATGTCAGCCAACAGTAAGACAAAATGGGCGAGAACGAATGTTAGTGTGAAACAGAAAGGGATGTCTGAGTGGGAATCTTAAAAGTAGTAAGTCTGTTAATGAATATTCTCATGTTACAATAATCTGCTTCTCTAAACATTTTTGTAATTACAGACTCAAAAATGAACACCTGAATAAAGAGGACCCCTGGTATTTGTAAAGATCTGTAGCATAATGACAAAGTGCATAGGCTTTGAAGTCACATGGCTGGGTATAAATACTATCTCTGACATGTAATGATTGTTTTCAGTTTTCCTCATCTGTAAAATAAGGACAATAATACCAATCTCACAGGATTGTTACGAGGATTAAATGAAATAATGCATGTACTAGGACTAGCATATAGTTAATGCTCAATAAATGTTAGCTAAAGGGTTCTTTAAAATTCCATTAAAATAAAGAAATACCATAAGGCACAGCTGTTAAATAAAAGAGTTGATGAATAATCAGGCTACCCTATGTCTTTCCATCTTACCGTAAAATTAAGACAAAATGTTTCCTCGACATCGTCTTCTGGATAATCCAGTAATTGTTGCATGCTTCTGCAAAACAAAAAATGTGCCTTTTAGGTAAAACATGACTGGGCATTTTGACTATTTTGCTTATGAGTAAATATATAATTCTCATTCATTCTTGATAAAATCCTTTTATTAATCTGTACTTTTTTTCAGAATGGTAGATGTACCATAGCAAACAAACAATGTTGAAGAAAAAAATAAAGTTTAAAATTTTTATCTCTTCCTCAGAATACAAAGGTCATATATCCACCCGTTTGCAACATTTGTCCTTATTTATATACAATTTTCATTCCATTTTATGTAATAAATAAAAATAAATTTTACATATTCCAGCTAGGCACGAAGGTGATCATAAGTAAAAGTCCAAGTAAATCATTTAACTACTCTCAGGAAACATCTTCCTAAATTTATTATCTGATATTCACAAAGTATTGTTAAACCACTAAAAATTTGGCAGATGGTTTTATACTTGTAAGTTTTTCAGTAGAAAATTTTGGATCTGAGTTAACACATTGTGCTTTCCTTCATTAGACAGCTTTTATTTTGGAAATTCAGTAACAACAAAACACAGTCATTCCTAAAAGGAAAGCTTTCTGTACTTTCCCTATTTCCTAAACCCCACCCTTGCCACTTTTTACAACTAACCTCCCAACAGCAGGCATTAGTTCTTTCAAATCATCCAGGGATGGCTTCTTTTTCAGTAGTTTCTTATATAAAGCCAAAGGAAAGTGGAGGTCCACAATAGTAAAATTATAAATAGCTAGTCCACAGATAACACCAATCAAATGGAACAAATCACTGTCTTCAAATGTCTAAAAATACAAGAAAAAAAGGTAAACACTTGTTCTCCAAGTTAAAAGAGTAAATATTTTCTGATTACAAAACCAAATACCTATAGTAGGAAATTTGGAAGATATAAAAAAAAGTAATGAATAACAAGAAAAATTTTCATTCTCTTTCCTGTCTCCCAGGGATATATCATTGTTAGTTTTTTTGCACATTTCCATCCAATGCATTCTCTAAGACAAAGCTGAAATCTAGCTGAGATCGTACTACACACATAACTTCACAACTGGCATTTCCCCCCAGAAATATAAGCATTCTCATATCATTAAACATTAAATTAATAAATGATTAGAACCTTTTTCTGAGCTAAAAAATTACATTCAAAATATGGAAAATAAAAAAAGGATAAAACTATTCAGAAATGACTTTAAAAATATTTTTATGTATTTTCATCTACTATAAGTTCAGAAAAATATTCAGGAAAACATATTTAAGGTTTCTTTACTTTTCTAATTACAACCTAAGTATTTTCTTATATCATCAAATATTCTTCCAGAACATGATTTTTAATGGCTGCGTATTACATCATATAAAAGTATCATGTTGCTAAGTTAGCTATTCACTGTAACTGGAAATTTGTATTATACTGATACACTGAAAACAATGCTTATTCCACCTCTCCCCCCATCTTTAGAGAAGTAACATATGGTCACAGAAAAATCTGTGAGCATGAAAGTTAAGAGAAAAAAGTTTTTAAAAGTGGATTTGGGGCTCCAGTTATGGTTCATTTACCATCTAGCCTCTGTTTTCAAACATAAAAAATATTTATCTAACATGGTGGCTGTGAGGATTAAATGTATCTAAAATGCTTTTAGCACAGTTCCTGAAGCACACAGTAAAAGCTCAATAAATGTTAGTTATTCTAACTAGCTACTAATATTCAAAATAAGATGGGGATTTTTTTGCATATATTTTGGTCCAGTTTGGAATATTTTTCCTTAGGAGAAATTCTGCTTTGAAAGGAAGGATTACAAAGTGAAAAAGTAGCTAAGCTTACTACAAAAATGTTTTCCTCCACATCTGTTCCAGTTTATACTGCTATTTGTAGTCCAGGAAAATGCCTATTTTTCTACACTTTCATCTATATATATACACTATGAACATGTAAACACACATTTCTGCCTGAGTTGAAAATGACTTGTTTTAGTATGTATTTTTGACTGCTAGTGATACTGAGAATTGGGGGTTGGTATGCACTTGTCAAATGCTTCTTCACATACTAGCCCATCAAGTTTTCAGGGGCTGGTGCCCTCTCATATATTCGTATTTGAATTCCTCACACACTAGGGGTAGTCGCCCTTGTCACATTTGTTACACATATCCTGTCTGTTAAGAGCCTTCTACTTTTATGTTTCTGTTTGCATAAATTTCATATTTGTCAGTGTCAAATTTATCTTTTTCCTTTGTGGTGCTTTTAAGTTTAACAAGTCCTTCTTAAATAGGGCAGGCTGCATAATGTTACCCTTTCTTCCTTCTGAAATCCCTCTGAATGAGAATAAAGGAAGAAAAATAGCATAAACCCTCAAGAAAAAAACTAGGGGAGTGTTTTAAAAGCACTGAAGAGATGTTCATATTTCAAAATATGAAAAATAGATAAACGGCTGGTAACTGATTTGGTTTGCATAAAACCTGCAATAGTAGCTTATAGGAAGAAAACCAATGAAAAACAAATTAATTGGTGCTGCAGGCTTAGGAGGATCTGGAAGTGCCAATCAATATCTTCAAAGTCAGAGGGGTATTAGAGTGGGATTGCAAACAGAAGTTTGGTAGAAAGTCCTTTGCCTTTCTAGAGAGGATGAACCAAAGAAGCTCCGGAATCTGAGCCAGTCGATGAAAGTGATCAAATGAAGACCTATATAGTGAACAGACTTCCCTTTCCAGTATTCGGAACACTACTAAAATACTAACAGACAGGGTTACAATCTTTCTTTAAAATCCAGAGGTGTCTGGCCAGGTGTGGCTCAGTGGTTGAACATTGACCTAGGACCCAGGATATCACGGTTTGATTCTTGGTCAGGGCACATGCCTGGGTTGTGGGCTCGATCCCCAGTCAGAGGTGTGCAGGAGGCAGCCGATCAATGACGACTCTCTCATTATTGATGTTTCTATCTCTCTCTCTCCTTCTCCTTTTCCTTCTCTGAAATCAATGAAGATACATTTTTTAAAAAATAAAAAGTAACAGGGTAAAAAACTTCATATGCTGACATTTAAGGGTTCCCCTCATTAAAAGCCCCCACCTACTCACTCTATGAATAAGGCCTGTAAATCATAAATGTGCATGACTATACATGTAAAATATCTAGGTAGCTTTTCAGTGTCACACTTTAAATGTGAATAAACAGTCAAGGATCACAAGAAAAAGATAAAAGAAACCTGAAGGAATAAGAGGTACTGTGGGAAACAAAAAACTGTCAAACAAAAAAGTGTCTAGTATTCAACAAAAATGTATTAAGCATGCAAAGAAAAGAAAAAAATTGTCCATTCACAAGAAAAAAAGAAATTAATATAACCTGCCCTTGAGAAAGCCCAGACATTGGACTTACAAGATGAAGATTTAAATTAACTGTCTTAAATATGTTCAAAGAGCTAAAGAACCATAAACAAACAAAAACAGAACAAAAAACTAAAGAAAAGCAGGATAACAATATCTCATAAAACAGGGAGCATCAATAAAGAGATAGAAATTATCTACTTTCAAAAATAACAGCATAAAAAAGAATGAAGAAAATGAGCAGAGCCTAAGGGATCTGTGGGGCACCATCAAGTGTACCATCACAGAAATAGTAGAGTTCCAGAAGGAGAGGAGAGAAAGAGGTAGAAAAATATTTGAAAAAATGGTGGAACACTTCCCAAATTTGATAGAAGACATAAATCTAATATCCAAGAAGCTCAACAATCTCCAAGCATGACAAACTCGAGATCCACACCCAAGCACATTTATAATCAAAGTGTTGAAAGCCAATTATGAAAAGAATATTGAAAGCAGCAAAAGAGAAGCAACTCATCACATAGTAGGGCTTCTCAATGAGATTAACAGCTAATTTCTCATCAGAATCCATGCATTCCAAAAGGCAGTGGAATTACTATTTAAAGGGCCAAAAGAAAAAACTGGCAAATAAGAATTCTATGTCCAGGAAATCTCAGATAAAAACTGAGGCAATTTTTTTCTATTAGACCTTCCCTACAAGAAATGCTGAAGTGTGTAGGCTGAAAGGAAAGAGTGTTACATAGTAACTTAAAGCCATACAAAAAAATAAAGAACTCTGATAAGGTAGCTATAAAGGTAGATACAAAAGTTAATATAATATTATTGTATTTTTAATTTATAACTCCTCTTTTCCCCCTATATGGTTTAAAAATAAAACAAATGCAGCCTGGCCAGGAGTGGCTCAGCTGTTGAGCATCAACCTAGGATCCAGGCGATTGTGGTTCAATTCCCAGTCAGGGGCATGCAGGAGGCAGCCAATCAATGATGACTCTCTCATCATTGATGTTTCTCTCTCTTCCTCTCGTTCCCTCTCTCTGAAATCAATAAAGATATATTTTAAAAACAAAACAAAATCCAAATGCATAAACTAATTATTCTATATTAATGGGCTTACAATGTATAAAGCTGTAAGTTGTAAAGATAACAAAGTGGGAAGGACAGACAGCTGTTCTAGGAGCAGAGTTTCTATATATTATTAAGTTGGTATTAATTCAAACTAGATTGCTATAAAGTCAAGATGTTAATTGTAACCCTCAGAGCAACTACTAAGAAAATAACAGAAATATATATAGAAAAGGAAATGAGAAGGAAATCAAAACAATACACTAGAAAAAATATCGATTAAACACCAAAAAAGAGGCAGTAAAGAAAAAAGATAGCAAAATGGCAGAAGTGCTTCCTTATCTAAATGACATTAAATGTAAATGAATTAAATTTTGCAATAAAAAAGCAGAGACTGGCAGAATGGGTTTACAAAAGAAAACAAACCATGATTCAACTATATGCTGTCTACAGCCTCGCTTTAAGACACAACTAGGTTGAAAGTAAAAGTTTGGAAAAATATATTAACCAAAAGATAGCTGAGTAAAAACAAGACTTTTAAGTCAAATATTGTTACAAGAGACAAAAAAAAGACATATATTGATAAAAGTGTCAATTCATCAAGAAGATACATTTACATACAAATATATATGTTACTATATAGTTTCAAGATATATAAAGCAAAAACTGACAAAATTGAAGGGAAAAATACAGTTCTAAAATAATAGTTGGGGGCTTTAATACCCTACTTCCAGTAAGGGATAGAACAATCAAAAAATCAATAAGGAAATAGGAGGACTTAACACTATAAGTCAATTAGATCTAATAGCTAGACATAGAACACTTTCCAGGACAGGTCATATGTTAGGTCACAAGAGTCTCAATATATTTATAAAGGCTAAAATCATTTAAAAATATAAGACTATAATGGAATGAAATTAGAAATCAATAACAGAAATATGAAAAATTCACAGACTGTGAAAATTAAACAACACCCTTAAACAACAAATGGGTCAAAGAAGGTATCACAAGGGAAATCAGAAAATACTTTAGAGACTACTGAAAATGAAAATACAACATACAAAAACTTATTGGATGCAGAGAAAGCACTATTTGGAGAAAAATTTATCCACAGAATCACAAAAAGAAAAGCAAAAACTAAACCCAAAGGTAGCAGAGGGAGAAAATTCAGTTGGCTCTCTGTAGCTGAGGGTTTTGCATCTAACCCAGATTGAAACAGTAATTTTTATCTGTGACTAGAAATCTGTGGATGCAGAGGGCTGATAGTATGTATGCACTGACTGATCTACACCATTTTATATAAGGGATTTAAGCGTCCACACGTTATGGCACTCAAGGGAGGTCCTGGAACCAATCTTCCTTAGATACTGAGGGATGACTGTAATAAAGATTAAAGTGAAGATAAAAGAAATAGAGAATTAAAACAACAATACACAGAAGCAATAAAAACAAAAGCTGATTCTTTTAAAAGAGCAACAAAATTGACAAACCTTTAACTAGAATAACCAAGAAAAAAAGAGAGATGACTCACTTTATTTTTATTTTTAGAGAGAGAGGAAGAGAGAGGGTGGAGGAGAGAGAGAACATCAATTTGTTTTTCCACTTATTTATGCATTCATTGATTGATTTTTATATGTGTCTGACCAGGGATTGAAGCCGAAACCTTGGCTTTATTTACAAAACCATGTGCTGGAAAGAACTTAGCTCATGGACTATAGTTTGCTGAATAGTTACCTCTGCCCTAAATGATAAAGGTAGAGAAATCAATGATCCCTAATGATAAAGTTAATCTGGTAATTATTATTCAATCCTCAAATCTAAATCAGCAGAAGGAATGGTCATCATTTTCAAATTATTTTGCTAATTTGAAATGTGTGGTAAGCATTAACGTGTTTCGATGACTCTGAGTCCAAAGTTTATGATTTTTCAAATTTCAACACAGCCGATTTCTGAATCAAATATGTTAGGAATCCAGTGATAACTCTTATTTACTGAGTTCACTTGATACATACAGGTATACATACATAGGTATATACACAGAAATAATTTAGATGGTTGGGTTTTTTACCTTATCAGAAAACCAAATGAGTCTGGAATCTTCATAATACCTAAACATGCCATATTTAGGATCCAATAATTCCCTCATGATGAGCAAGAAAAATTCTTTGCGTACCCCTCCTGCATCAACAGCATCTTCTCCAACAAATATAACCTAAGAGAGCATAATGTAAACACTGAATGTAAAGAAATGAAAGTATATTCTGGAGATCTTATAACATATTACTGATTACAGAAAAATGCTCAGCAATTAACAGTTTAAAAAAATTTTTAAGGATATAACTTTATGAAGTTTCGAAGATACACTAAAAACAAATAGGAAAACTTTAAGCATATTTTCTGAATAAAAATCCCAATTATACAATGGAAAAAAGTCAAATTACCTTGAGCGGCTTTTTGTAGTCTATATTCTTTGTTTTCCTAAGGACTTCCATTGCATCTCCTACAATATTTTCTCTACGTACCACTAGAATTAGGCAGGGATTCACAGATTCGATCACTGGGAGAAAAAGAGAGGAGACATTCTGTCTGTGGGCCTGGTCAATAGCCATCTGGAAGACAGAAGATTAAAATTTTAATAGCAATGTACAAAGACGCTACTGTGACTAAATACACCAATCTCTACCTGTTAGATATTCTCTAACCCCTAGAACAATTCCTATACTACTGAATTTATATAGCATCTAACAGTATCTAGTATAAGAGTTTAATAAACTGTGTTTTGAGTATAAAGAGTATGCTTTTGAAAATTTTACATTAATGTATAACTAATGATACCATTAAGCAAGCATGGAACTGTAATACCGATAAATCTGAACACTGCTGTTTCTCAAAAGAGAACTGGGACGAAGAGTGAGGTAAAAAAGGAATGCATTGAAATAGAGATTAACCAAAGAATTTATATGCATAAATGAATAATAACCCAGACACAGACAATAGTGTGGTGAAGGCCTGGGGTGGGGGCGGGGTAGAAGGGGTCAATGAGGGGAAAAAAGGGGACATCTATAGTACTTTCAACAATAAAGATAAATTTAAAAAAATAAAAAATAAAACCACCCTATGTGCTCACAAAGCAAGCATTTGGCTTTTACCATTTAAAGCCTTTGTTCTCTTCCCATGGTTTTCCCTGTTCTTGTTCTAAAATGGAATATCCTATATTAAATGCACCGATTAACTTATTGATTTAACAAGGGCTGCCAAAACAAAACAAACAAAAAAACTGTTTTATGAGCTGTTAGTATAGAACCCTACAAAATACCTATTTTTTTCTGTTGATGAAAATGGAAATAAGCACATCTCTAAAATCCCCCCTAGGATCTATTATTTAAATATCCAGAGGGATTTAGAATACCAAATGCATTAATTTTAAAGGAATGAAAACAGCTATCAACACTGGGGGAAAGGATTAATTTTTTAAAGCATTTTTAGAATATTAAATGCCCAAGGTCTCTTCTTATTCTTTTCTTAGTTTTCAGTCTCTACAGTTAGATATTCTATACCAGAGAGAAAAACTCAAAACCTTTTTTATTTACAGGTTCAAATGATAAAGCAAACCTACTACAGCCCTTCAAAGTCATAATGTAAACTAATTTTTAAAATCCTCATTATAAAGGAATGCTTAACATAAAACAGAGGGAGTTGGGGGAGAAGGGAGGAGGAGGAGGAGACAACCAAACTTAGAAAAATATTTTTTACTAAAACTTTCTTCAAGGAAATTTCATAACCCTCCTCCTAACAGGTGATCAAATGCATTCTACTTTAACATCATTTCACCTCTAATCACCTCCCTCTCTTACCAAGTATATAAATAGGGGATACATAATGAAGCAAGACTTGAAACAAACCAACATTTTATCAAGTAAACTAGTAAAATTATTTATGAAGAGTGCTTATTTCTGTAATGAAAGAGGCTTATACCATTTTTTAGATATACAGGGTGTCCCAAAAAAGGTATACACACTTGAATAATTATTAATTCCAATGGGTTAAATCTGAAAAGAAAGAAACATCAATTGAGCTATCAGAAAAAAGTATGTATACATATTTTTTGGACACCTTGTATAATGATTAAAGGTTAAATTATTTTATTTTCATTTAAACATATTTAAGTAGCCCTCATAAGAAGATACATGTCACATGGAATAGTCATCTTTACAAGTACCAAAGGCACTCTGCAAAAGACCACACAGGTATAAAATGTCCCAAAGATGATTGATTATAAGCAAGTTTCAAATATTTACTTAAAAAAATTTTTTTTAGTGCGTTTTTATTGATTTTTAGAGAGAGAGGAAGGGAGAGGGAGAGAGAGATAGAAGCCTCGATAAGAAACAACATTGACAGGCTGCCTCCTGCACGCTCCCTACTGGGGAATTGAGCCAGAAACCCGGGCATGTGCCCTGGGTGGGAATTGAACAGTGACCTCTTGGTTCATGGGCTGACACTCAACCACTGGTCCACACCAGCTGAGCCCAAATATTTACTTTTTAAAAACTACATAAAAACAATCCAAAAACCACTCTCAAATCAGATTAGTACATATTATATAATATTTTACCTGCATCTGTAAGACTGCATCTGTTTGTAACAGAGTAGTTTTTGCTTGGGCATCAAATACAAATGGATATGTGCAGATTGTAACAGGGATATCTGCCAACTGGAAAAAAAAATTTAACTTATTAGTACAAATTGGTTTGTGATTTTGTGATTATATTTCTCGTAGGTACTGTCACTTCTTGTAAAGTTGATCACATTCTTGGTTTATTCATTGTGTGTCATTCAGGAATTATAAATAAAACATGTTGCTTACTTCCCAACACAGGCATACCTCGGAAATACCACAGGTTCAGTTCCTGACCACTGCAATAAAGCAAGTCATAATCTTTTTGCTGGTAGAGGCTATTGCCTTCAATTTGTAAAAACCACAACATCTGTGAAGCATAATAAAGTTCAATAAAACTAGGTATGCCTATATAGAATTTTTAGTGATAAACTCAATTCCCAGTATCAGGAGGGAATTATTCTTGAGTGTCCACAAAAACATAAATTACAAGTATCTTTTGCTTAACATATTAACTCCAAGTTTCAGTGAAGTAGATTGCAAATTTATTCTAAAATTAGGGACCTCCAAATAAACACAGTACTTAGTTCATAAAAGCCAGGGCTACTCTAGCAACAGAGGCCAATGATAAAGCAATCTGCTTATTTATTCATTTAAGAGATATTTACTGCAAGCGATTAGGGTGCTACCATTAATGAGCCTAACCATCTGTTCATTCAACATACAAAATAAGCACCACCAGAATTATTACGCTCTGTCAACCTTTAAAACTGGTAGGACTGATCTATTATACCTATTATATCATGTTAGTCTTCTTATACATAATTATTTATCCTTGCAGGTAATGCAGTAATGGACTGTTAAATGTTTTAACAGTTCAGAAGAATGAAAGCTATGAGCTGCAGTCACGGACTCGGGAGTTGGATGAGGACGGTTCCGACCGTAGGCCCAACAAGCACCACTTCGGTGCCCACCCCAGGAGAGGGCTGGCTAAGGCTCCCAGGGAGCACTCAATACAGCAGGAACAACCCACTTCTTTTTAAGGGCTTAGCAAGTTCTTTATGTTGGTCTGAATCTGTACTTCTGTCCATCACTGTCCATCACTTTGTTTTGTATTTCAGTCTTCATTTTGCCTCTGCAGGGAAGTATATGTGGTTTAAATATTTCAAGTCCTCATGCTCCTTCCCTAAGATGTCTTTTTTCCCCACACTAAACACTCCCAGTTTTCTCAATCATTCTGAAAATATGGTTTTCAGCTCTTCATCATCATAACTGCCTTCTTTTAAATGTATTTCAATTTGTCTAATGTTCTCTTAACTATGGCCACAAAAACCAAAATAATCCCGTAGTGCCCAACCAATATAGAATATCCACTCTTTGTCCTCAACATGTAAGACAACACCTGAATTGTATTTTTACAGTAAATTAATTATTCTTCACTATATTTCATATGAATTTTTTTTTTTTACCTCCATTCTGTATTTGTGTCACTAACTAGCTATTAATGGTGGAAAGTCATTTTACTATTCTGAAATTCCAAAAGATGGAGATGATTCCTAAAGTTCCCTTTGGCTCTACAACTATATTTGATAACTTTCTGTGCTGCTTCTATCTGAGGACGGGAAGCGAACAATGTTAGGCCTATAATTTAAAGTGAACTCTAAATGCTTTATTGGTTCAAGTGGGGAAAAGCAAAACAACACAACAAAATCTAGCTTATAACAGGACTATAAAAGAAGTTCTGTAACATTCCCAAGGGTTAAAAAGGTAGGTTTAGGATTGCTGATGATGTAAAACAAACTGAGGAAGATGATCATGCTGAAAGTTTATTTGATTTTATGACCATTTCGAGTATATTAGTTTTAAAATGAAAGATCATTTTACTTCTCTAATATAAAATATTTTCTGACTCATTGTATAGGCATTTGTCAAATTTTAAAAGTTTGCTTTTTTATATTCTAAAGACATTAAATTTTATGCTGGAAGACTTAGGAGGACAGGGACTAATTTTAAGCAATTCTTGTTGATAGGAATCAGACAGGTGTAACATTAAAACAGAACTTGTAATGTTCTTTCTTCTGTTTTTGACAGAAAGGGAGAAGGAGAGAGAGAGAGATACACTGATGGGCTGCCTCCTGCATGTCCCCTATTGAGGATCGAGCCCACCATCCAGGCACGTGCCCTGACCAGGAACAGAACCAGTGACCTCTTGGTGCATGGATCGATGCTCAATCCACTGAGCCAAACCGGCTGGGCCAGTTTTAATTTTCTTCATAAAATTCCTCTGAAATTCTATACAGGACAATTTCTAAAAATTCATTTTTATAAATATGTATATATATTTTAAAGTCACACACACGAGGAAACTTTGGCTCTCCTATCACTTAAGACAAAGCAGAGTATATTTTACTCTGAACATGAGACTATTACAACAAACTTACCTCAGTTAATCCATGGTTGACATCCTAAGACAGCAGTGCAGAATGTAACAATGAGGAAAGAGCAATGTTAGTGTCCAAATTTAACTATTTCTATTCAAAGTAGCATTTCATATATTTTGCTACAGAAGAATACAGAATTAATGAAGTAGACAAAAATACATCTACAACAAAACTTACCCTTCCCACATGTACCTTATATACCTATAAATGTAACACCTTTGTTTCAGGTACCTTGTGATCATAAAATTATTGAGGCTTGAATATAATAAAATTTGGTTTCAGCAACTAAGCACCCCATTTGCAGAATTTAGGTAGAACAGGAAAACTAATCCTAGCTTAATTTAGTCTTGAAGAAATAGTTACAGGGCTCAGTTTTTCTACCTGGGAAATGGAGAAAATATTCCTCAAACTTCAACACCTGGTTAATCCTGACAAAGATGTTTAAAGGTATTTAGTAGAGTAAAATGCTACAGGGGAACAAAGTGAGAAAAATAAGCCATATGTTGTTTTTACTTTTCAGAAATAACCAGTGAAACATAGGTATATTAAGTAAGGGTTCTTTAACACTAAATTAGCTTAAAAAAGAAAGTACAAGACGGGGCACGAGGATTGACAAGTAGAAAGAAGAAATGGAGAAAAAGATATTTATGAAGGAAATAACAATGGAAATGATCATGAAAGCTTACCACTTCCTTGAACAGAAATGTATACTTTCTTGCAGAAAAAGATTCCACATATGTTCAGGGTATAGATTCATATGAAGAGCTAGAATCTCCAAAAATATGTTACTAAATTTGCAGGTGGTACTTTGTATAGTGAGGAATTAATCTTATCCAAAGAGAGGTCTGACTTTGTCCTCAGGTACTGGGAGGTGATGTGCAGATGTTTGGAATGTCTCCTGAAAGGATTGTCTTTGTTTACCTGGGGGCACTGGACCACGTGATTATCAGTTCTGCCTCCAGAAGGGCTTGAGACTAAAGGTCACCTGCATGGGCAGTATGTGACTGAGCCTCAATAAAAATTCTGGGCACCAAGGCTCTGGTGAACTTCCTTGGTTGGAACCCCTGGTGAGTATTGTCACACATAAATGCTGGGAAATAACTTGTCCATGACTAAAGGGAGAAGAAAACAGAGCTCTGCCTTTGTACCTTTCCCAGACTCCACCTATGCCTGTTCCCTTGGATGATTTTTAATCTGTATCCCTTGCCTGTAATAAACTGTAAATGTCAGCATAATAGTTTTCAGTGACTTCTGTGAAGACTTGTAGAAAATTATTGAACCTGAGAGTGGTTTGGGGACCCTTCAACAACTTGCAGTTGGTATCAGAAGTGAGGGTAGTCTTGTGTGAACAGTTACCTCTCACTCCACAGTTGGCTAAATTCTCAAATGCCTTGAGGGCTTTAAGATATTAGCAAAGACTTAGGGTTCTCTCACAACAGTGTGCTAAATAAAGCCAAAGCAGTACAAGCATAATCAAAATATGACTACACAAATCCTATTCTGAGAAAGTTACTGATAAGTTTCTTTCAAAAAATTCAGAGTATCAAGTTATCACTACATAAGTGCCCCTACTGGCAGTGTTAACAAGACTGCACCTGGCTGCTGTTCTGCAGAAAAAGCCTTTTAGATTACACTCAGTGTAATTTGAAGGCAAATTAACAGGAATATCTGAAATCTTTTTATAGTATATCCCGTGGGACATTTTAAGTGTTATTACTACTAAGAAAGTTTGAATAAGCAAAGAAACATCTTTCAATGTTTTTGGATGACCTATGGCCTGCTTGATAACTGTACTAAATACCAAGTATATGCCAGGAGATGGATTTTATTCTTAAGTAAATAATAAAACATTAATATATATGCACTATTTTTATTGCTACAGATAAATAAAGGTGCTATGCATATCATTATGCACTGGGGACTAAATCACACCAAAGTAAAACGTAAGTCTGATTGTAAAGAGATATGAACTGGTAGGAATATAAAAAATGAGACATGGAAAACTTAAGAAGAGAGACTATTAGATATCAAGCAAAAGGATTTATCTCAGAGGCACAGAAGGGACAACCAGATCAAAATCATTATTAGACATTTCAATTAAGGGTTTAGTATCTTAGACAAAAGCTCAATCATTTTAAAAAGTCAATGTTTAAAGAGCAAGGATGAACTCTTCTGGAAAACAGCTGCAAGGTAGTTGTTACGTTAGTTGCAAATCTAATTCAGTCAAAGTAGTATTTCCAAGGGAAATTTAAAAGGAAAACAAAGTAGTTTGGGAGCTGGGGGCAGGATATTACAAAACATGTAAAGTCAACTAAAGGTCTACTGCTAAAAATTCAACAATCATTCAATGCATGACCTTCTACTGACTCCAAATCCACATACTCAAGCACTAACTTTTGACTGTTTTTAGAGTGGGGGCCCTGAAATTGAGTCAAGGAAGGCCAAATTTTAGTTACTCAAAGTCCTAGAAGCTAGAGTGAGAAAGGCCTGAAGGAATGCTCAAAAGTTTCATGGTCTAAAGCAGACTTCACCAAGGCTTTTAACACCAATGGTTTATAATGGTTCCAGTCAAGAAAGATGCAGCTCGTTGGCATGTTTTAGTTTCAAATAATTACTTATGGCAAAACACTATACCATGGCTGGTGCCGTCTTGAT